TATGGTGACTGTTATTGTGACTGTTTACTGTGTATGGTGACTTATTATGACTGTTTACTGTTTGTGGTGACTGTTATTATGACTGTTTACTGTTTATGGTGACTGTTATTATGACTGTTTACTGTTTATGGTGACTGTTATTGTGACTGTTTACTGTTTATGGTGACTGTTATTGTGACTGTTTACTGTTTATGATGACTGTTTACTGCTTATGGTGACTGTTTACTGTGACTGTGGTTACTGTGTCTAATGAATGGATGTTCCTCTTCACTGTTTACAGTGACTGGATGTTCCCGTGTACTGTTTATAGTGACTGGGTGTTACTGTTTATAGTGACTGGGTGTTCCTGTTTATAGTGACTGGATGTTCCCGTGTACTGTTTATAGTGACTGGATGTTCCCGTGTACTGTTTATAGTGACTGGATGTTCCTGTTGCTGATATGGTAATCCTGATGCCCTTCCCATAGTATTTGGCTGATCTATACTTCACTTAACACGTGCTGTACTTTACTTAACACGTACTTTACTTAACACGTACTTTACTTAACACGTACTTTACTTAACACGTACTTTACTTAACACGTACTTTGCTTTATACGTACCTTACTTTACCCTTTGTTTACGTAGCCTACTTATGCGTCAGATAGGTTTATATAAATAGAAAAAACATTCAAACATATATTTACACTTAGAAATATTCAGAAAATACTTTTTAAAATATATTCTTCAGTCAACAAATTTTTTTTGATGCAGTATTACCATTCACGTTATTACATCATCAACAATTTTCAAAGAAGAATGTTCAAACACCATATCACACCATTTTTAGTGATTTGTTCTCAAACCTCAAACTTTTTTCCCCGTGAGGTGGTGAAGGAGTGACGTCATAGCACCCGTAGGGACACATAGGTTACGCAATGACCACTATTCACTGGTACCTCTGACGTCATCGGAGGCAGTCACCGTGAGAGTTATGATATAATCGGTATTCTTGCTGGCTCAGACCTGACTGTGTGGGTGGTGTGGGTGGGTGTGAATGTGTGGATGGGTGTGTGTGGGTGGGTGTGTGTAGGTTTGTGGGTGGTGTGGGTGGGTGTAAGTGTGTGGATGGTGTGGGTGTGTGTGAATGTGTGGGTGGGTGTAAGTGTGTGGGTGGGTGTAAGTGTGTGGGTGGGTCTAAGTGTGTGTGGATGGTGTAGGTGTATGAGTGGGTGTAGATGTGTGGGTGTGAGTGGATAAAAGTTAGTATGTATGGCTGGGAGTAGGTGTGTTGGATGTGCAAAGTGAATGGATATTTGTGTCTGGGCAGATGTGCATGGATGTGGGTGTGTTATATCAATGTCTTTTGTAAGTGTGTGTGGATATGAGTAACTAGATATTATAGTATGGATGTAAGTGGATATTTGGGTGTTTGGGTGTATGTGTGGAGCTGCATGTAAGTGGATACTATAGTATGTGTGTAAGTGGATATTTGTGTGTGGGTGTATGTGTGGAGCTGTATGAGTAAGTGGATATTATAATATGGATGTAAGTGGATATTTGTGTGTGGGTGTATGTGTGGAGCTGTATGAGTAAGTGGATACTATAGTATGTGTGTAAGTGGATATTTGTGTGTTTGGGTGTATGTGTGGAGCTGTATGAGTAAGTGGATATTATAGTATGGATGTAAGTGGATATTTGTGTGTTTGGGTGTATGTGTGGAGCTGCATGTAAGTGGATATTATAGTATGGATGTAAATGGATATTTGTGTGTATGTGTGGAGTTGTATGCGTAAGTGGATATTATAGTATGGATGTTAGTGGATATTTGGGTGTATGTGTGGAGCTGAATGCGTAAGTGGATATTATAGTATGGATGTTAGTGGATATTTGGGTGTATGTGTGGAGCTGAATGTGTTTCAGTATAGATGGCTGTGGGAGTAAGTATGGTTATTGGTGTGGGAGTAAGTATGGTTATTGGTGTGGGAGTAAGTATGGTTATTGGTGTGGGAGTAAGTATGGTTATTGGTGTGGGAGTAAGTATGGTTATTGGTGTGGGAGTAAGTATGGTTATTGGTGTGGGATGGTTATTGGTGTGGGAGTAAGTATGGTTATTGGTATGGTTATTGGTGAGTAAGTATGGTTATTGGTGTGGGAGTAAGTATGGTTATTGGTGTGGGAGTAAGTATGGTTATTGGTGTGGGAGTAAGTATGGTTATTGGTGTGGGAGTAAGTATGGTTATTGGTGTGGGAGTAAGTATGGTTATTGGTGTGGGAGTACAGAGAAGTACATAATGGTTAACGGCGGTACACATTACTGAACATCACATCACATTATTCTGTGACTGACTGAACACCGTGGTTTACTGACTCACTGAATACTACGGCTAATTGAATACCAATGCATACTAAAGACCGCAACATGCTGAACATTGTGGCTCACTGAACACCGCGATGTACTGAACACTGCGATATACTGAACACCGTGGCTCACTGAACAACACGATATACTGACCATGGCTCACTGAACACCTTCGATATACTGAACACTATGTCCCACTGAGCACTGAGCAATGTAACCAATTGTGCAGAAGGTTTTATATAACTTAATGTGATGTAATTTGGTTTATACAGTTATCATTTATCTGAAGTCCATATAATATTATTAATTCAATCAAAGAAATAAAGTGTCTATAATATTAATATAATTATTGTTCTCTTAACATGTGATGGAGTGCGGCTGTCACAGATGTGTAATGATAACTTAATTAGGTGGAAATGTAATTAAAGTAACTGAAGCCAAAATTAATATCATGACCTCCAAAAGTAGTTAATTATTATAAAAGTGATAGAGTTAATAATAATAATGGTGATGATGATGATTGCAGTAATAATAATAATGAAAGAATAACAATTAGATGACCACGTACTGTACACACAAGTAAAGGTGAAAGAGTACACGGTGTCTGGATACTGTGTACTGTTCCGTAAACGAAGTAAGCAATACATTAATCTCTAACCTCTGTTATGAGATAAATTTGACACTGTAAGAGTTCGAACAATTATGATATATTTCCAAATTAAAATGTTTCCCCATCGTATAGAGAATTATTAAGTTACTTTGATAAAACATATATATATATACATGTTATAGGAAATATATCGTAATTTTTCGTCACAGTGTTGGGAGACCGTATAAGATGTGTGTTGGTAAGTGGGAAAAAAACACTGACATATAAATACTTGGTGCTGAGAAACTTTGGGGCCAACTCACCTGACGTTTGATTCAGTCTTAAACAGTTTGTATTTCCCGGGTCTGCATGCAAGGAAGGAGACGAGTGTTAGTCACATAGTAAAATGTATCGGGTGAATGAGAGTATACAGTACAATAGTTTAATTAGCCTATCGTATGTTTATTATTGTATTAGAAAACTATATGGGTCGATTTTTTTTTATAGTGGTACCTTAAAAAAGGAAAAAAATTGCACAGGTGTTTGGGTGTGCAGGTGAGCCTATATTTGAGTTACCGGGTATGTGGTTTTTCCAATATATTCGACATGTCTCTCTCTGAAAATAATAGGTAATGTTATATGCTGAAATGTGTTAACTACAGGAGACAGTGACAATCATTTAGACTAAAAAAAATTTAGTTATCCTTTTCATTTTGTAGTAGGAAAATAATTCATTACTTTACAATCTATCTCTGATTTTCGCTAACTTCCTCCCTTGCCGAGGATATGAGAAGCAGTTTATTGGGTGATGCAAACAGCGAAATAGTGATGAGGTGACTAATAATCCTTGTAACTGAAGATCTAAGAAGACACCTGACTTGTTGATATAAGTTGAAACACAAAAGTACATCCACAATTATTATTAGAATTACAGTGAGGGACTACTAGACACGTTCACCTAACATCACACAGTTAAGGTGTAGAATTTTTTTCCACAAGATTCTGTACCTGAATATTGTCTTCCAACTGGTGCTAAGTGGACACGCCTAGCCAAGGCAGAATCTCAAGTGTAATTTTAATGTTATTTGGGAAGTTATTTGTGTGTTTTAGCTTAAGTTAACTATGTAGGTATATTTTTTACATTTTAATCACGAGAAATACTCATCATGCGAAACTTTGTATTATCCGGACACTGGCTCATGAGTCCGGGAATGTCATGGTTTGAGAGTAACACATTTGTAAACATGTCTAAGTTTGCGTCGGCAGTGACACCACAGTCATCCTAACTAATGTTAAAATCATCTTAAGAGAAGAAGCTATTGTATGAGGGAACTAGTGACACTCCCTGGGGGTAAATCATCACATGTTATGATCAAAATGAGAGGTTTTATGTAGTGATGATATACGGTAATTAAAAGTAATACTCACTAATCCTATCCTTCCACATGTGAAGTATTTTAGCAAGTAAACAAAGTCAGGACATACATTAGACAACAACTATTAAATTATTAAGGAAGTTGTATCTTCCTGTTTTAATTACTTTACTCATAAGCAACGACAGAATCACACACACACATAAATATATATATATATATATATATATATATATATATATATATATATATATATATATATATATATATATATATATATATATATATACACACACACAGTATGGCAAGCATCGAGAGCAACACTTATAGGAAGCGTAATAATAGGCATGTGAAAAAGCTCTAGTGTAAAGGTACTAAACCGGAGGATAACATAAAATAAAAGAGTAAGCGACACCTACTGTACCATCTTAACAGTTAAGCTACACGGCTGACACAGGTAATGACTATAGTACAGTGCTCACATTCCCTGTAAGTGCGTTGTGCAATATAACTTAAATTGTAAAGCAACATGAAATTAATATTAAACTTTCGTGGCAGTAATTAAGGCATACTGCTTTGAAGATGCAGGTGGGTGTCTGTGTGTTTACAAGTTTCCCCAGAACCATACAACACTGCTGCTAATCATAATAAACAACACACACATAAGGCAGAAATATAAATAAAAACCTAAAAGCTCTTGTGTTTAACATCTTTATTGTGAACAGGACATAATTGTCGGGGAGAAGATTAAACAGACAAAATATTGAAACCATTGCAACAGAACGTCTTCGAATTTGATCACAATAGTGTCAGATTAGCTAAATATTAGCAGACTAGATTTCATGTTCATCTTTAAGAGCGAATTAGTACCGAATTGGAATCATTCTACTACGTATTATATTCCCAGCCCATTAAAAAATAAGTCATAGTTGCACAGTTAAGAGCACTATCGGTGTGTGTAGTCGCCGGACCCGGATTCAGGCATGGCAGTTGAGTGAGTCTGGCTCCCTGAAGTCCAGCGTGATGATGGTGAGTGGTGTGTTAGAATCCGGGTGCCAGGCGTACACTGAAGCTCGCACGATGGCGGCGCCTACATCGTATTTACAAACTTTCGTTTACCAAGATAGTGTAATAGCTGCGCATAAATACATCACTCATTACTTACAAAATACAGCAATAAAAACAAAACATGTACAGCCCCGTGTCTTGGTACACATCTTGAGTACAGTCTCTGCAATTTCTCGTGTGTTACAGCGAGCATTGCGTCACTCTCCTGGAACTGGTACTCAAGTTGAAACTAAGAGACCAGGTATGACAGCACACAACCGTATGATAAATTAACAGAAGAAAGCTACATTCAAACACAATTCCCCTTGCATGCCATTACCTAATTGTATGTATTTTACTGTCATAAAAACAAGCTACAAATTTTCTTTATAAATGTTTTGGCCTCACAGAGTTAAACCAAAAAGCGCATCATAAAATGAGCTAAAATTTAACAACCAATATTATTCTTTCGTGTGTGTTAACTTAGGCCCAAATAATTAGAAAACTAATGAACATAAAGTGCTACAGTGTGAGGGTAGGAGGGTGACAGTGCCGTGGCCCTGTACCATGGTTAGCCCTCGCAGCAGAAAATAATAACTGAACATTCTCTCGAATCTTACGGAGGAGAAACTAAACCATTTGTAGTGCCATTGAGAAGTATAGTTATGATCATTAGGATGGAACAGTAACATTGACGCTAAACGACTTAGGAACAAAACTCAACATTTCTCTCAGGAATTATTGTTATAATAGGTCTGAATCCTGTAAGTTTTTCTAAGGCCTTCAGAAAGATGTGCTGAACTGAAGTACAGATAAGTTTATCCAGAGATGCATGATGGATGAACTCAAGATGGAGAAAATTATAACAAAAACTATATTGAATGCCGCTAGTAATATCCAATCCGTAAGATAGTGGAGGGAAGGGGGGGGGGTGTGGCGAGGCAGCAGTGCTGACAACATCTACTCGACAAGCTCCTCCTCGCCCAACCTGGTGGTGGTGGGTCCGCTGCTGGCCAGGATGTCGGCGTCGGCGGCGGTGTCAGCGGCGTCAGCGTCAGCAGCGGCAGCGGCAGCGGTGGTGAAGTCGTGTGGCCCCTCCAGCCCGGCCTCGGCTGTGGTGGTGGTGGTGGCCAGGTCATCGCTCACTTCTGTTCCTAGAAAAGCGCGCAACCTAGTCGTATATTTGCCGGGGAAGAGGGAGGGGAAGGCTTTGTAAGGACAAACTGAAAATAAAACTGCGGGGAAGAACTAAACACTTGAAGCAGGGAGATATATGTGATCACTCAACAACATCAATGAGTAGGAGGAAGACTTTTGATCATTACAAAACTCAGAGGTGAAAATTTGATTACTCTGTAAATAGGAGGAGGATTTTGATCTATATAGAAATAGGGAGAGGGATTGTGATCATTGGTGCATATACAGTACAGTATAAGCAAAGCAACACATGCTTCTTTTTGTAGGTTTGGTTACTGTCGTGTTGTGTGCAGTTGTCGACAGTTAGCAAATTTTATCTCGTAATTTACTGATCGTCTAGTTAACCTTAGTTCGAAAAAAGTTGTCTGGTTTTCCTTGTTAGTTTAAATTCTGCAAGACAACATATTTGATACCCATCATGGTCAGAAAATGTATTAAAAACACCAAACGTTTGTAATTTTAACAAGTTTTGTATGTCCATATTTTCAATGGCAAAATTTTGCATATTGGTCATTTCCCTGAACACTAAGCCTTCGTAATGTAGAAAAATAATTCTATTTGTACTGTGAATATTAATGCCTTGGAATAATGTGGCATTTTCTTGGCCACATTTAAAAATCTACAATCAGAGATACTGTTTTAATTTTCCTTTGAACAGGGGAATAAATAACTACAGGTGTGTTCAGATGGGATATTAGCAATACTGTACCAGAATACCAACTAACAAAGAAAACAGTTCAACAATACCTTATTTAATATCAAGATCTCTTTTATGTGACGTTTTATAAACTCAGTATAGTGAAGATTTAACTTGGTAAGTCATTGATCCCTTATGGATGATAATATTGATTGGTCAAGTGATAGAGGAGAGGATGGTAACCCACATAAAGCTTCACGGTGAGTGTAATGACTTCACTCGTGTTGATCAGTGACTGTTAAACTCGAGTAGTGAATGGACTCACCTACCTTCTGTACCTGATCACTGTAAAAGTTTTAACAGGGTCATTATTACATGATACAAGTGTTAGATTTATGGAAATGTGAATGATGGCCACTTGATGAATGTTATGTTAGCCTGCACTTATAAATGATAGCATGATGAATCATTGAGATAGGAACCATAACTGATGAGGAAGCAAGTAGCCTACACATGAAAATCTAAAACAAGGTTCTGATACCATTTATAATAACATCAAAACAGATTTGATGTGATCTTAGTAGGATTGGAACCTCTACTTTACCCCGTCTCCCTGCGGTGGGTTTTATTTTTAATACAATTGTTTATTTAATGATCTGTTTATGAAATACATTATTGAATTTCAATATTTAATTTATGTGAGCGGTAAAGGTCTTTTTTGGCAGGTTGTGTTTGTGATGGTACAGTACATCCTGGAATCATACTGTTGTGCGTCTTTACAACTGGTTATTATTGTTCAAAAAAATAGATAAAGCGAGGAATTTATAGCTCGTGTCAATTAGACTTACTATGAAGTAGAGAGACGTCAACAACAACACTGAATAGAAATTGTTTCAATGTGAGATTCCAAGATATATTGTGTTGAAAGACTCATCGTCTCCAGCGTCAGAAAGTAATTCTTTTCCACCCAATGAGAAATTCCTCATGGTTGTTTATAATTGTCTATTTATAACAGTTCAGTGAAAGAAGGTGGGCTTTGTGAGGCCCGCGAGTCATCCAAGTCCACGGTGAAAGGAACATAAAGTGAAAGAGAAAGATATTTAAGGAGTCATTGTCGTATTATGTACAGTATGTGAGGGGCACTACTGGTGGTCCAGGAGCTGTACAGCACAGTATAGGAAGTGGATATTAAACATCAGTGATTCACGAATGTTAGGGAGGGTGAGGAGTCACAGGTGATGAACAACTGTTATGGGCACTTAGAAGGTAAACAACGACAAGGTGGTTTGGGATTTGTTGTTTACAATTTGTTTAATTAAAAATATATATGTTGAAATTCAGTCCATGAAATCAGTGTTAGGGTAAGTGGTCATGCCGAAGCAAAATACAACACCATTGTCCGTAGAATATGTGCAGTGGAGGAAGTAATGTTTAGTCTGGATTATGTCAACAGATGCAGTGACAGACGTATAGCTCAAGAATAAACTGATCTTAGAGAGTCATAAGTGACACCATTTCGGCGTTAGTCAGAACAAGTCAGAAAAATAAAGTAACAGACAAAAATCAAGAGTTAGAGAAAGACGAAGAACTGAAGACTTAAAGAGTTAATACCAATGACAGTCCTTGAGCTGAAGAATACAACACAACACACATGACACAAAAGAATTATGACAGACATGACAATGAAGAATTATCGATGACAAACATGAAACAAAAAAAAACAAAAAATAATGGGACAGACTTGGAACCGAAGACTAGAACAATACGAGGAACTGGCGACACAGAACTGATCTCCGACACCCACAAACGAGAACACTTTACACAGATAATCAACAAATAAGGAGGTAACTTTGTAATGTGACAAGTAATAAATAAACCGAGGAATACATACCCACAAGAGATCCGTAGAAAGATGAACTAGCTACTGCTTCTACTCGGCTAAAACAAAGCAACAAAATAACGGTAAAGCATGCAGTTCATTTATTACTTAGTACTCTATTGTTAAAGCATGTAAATTACTGTCAAGTAAATGAAAATCAAACTAAAAAGAGCCTTAACTGCATAGAAACAATAAATAACAGATGTTAACATTCGTGAAGGCACAGCAACAACGGCTTTCAGATACCAAGGAATGTACAGTAGTTCCTTGCAATTATTTTCATGGTGTGTATTTCAGCACACAAAACAGACATCAAATGAATTAAGTTCATCACTTTTTTACTGAGTATTAAAATAAGGACTTGATTATATAAAATTTGAACCGATTTTTTCATGCAACTCCATTGAAAACAGACGTGCTAGAATCCACTATAAAGAAAAATACAGAGTCATTTTGTCCAACTGAGAGTTTGTAGTTGGTCACCTGGAGGGCAGTACTCTCCATGCTCTCTCTCTCTCGACTTCCCTGTGTTTGTGTCTCAGGGTCCCGGCAGTGGGTCACATGTCTCGTCTACTGTCACCTCTCGGTAAATTCGTTTACAATTTCTGCGTCACTATTGGAAACTCATAAATAATTTAGAAACTTCTGATTATCTGAACTCACGAATCATTTATAAAGTTTTGATAGCATTAACTCACGAATGGGTTGCAAACTTTTGATTACACTAAGTCACGAAAGATTTGGAAATTAATTGTTGTGATACATAATGCACATACGTATGTTTTTTTTTGTATATTACATTGCATTAACTGACGAGCATTTTGAAAAGGTACGCGTATCGTTTTGACCATCACATTCACTTTAATTAAAACATACCTGGTGGCTTCCTCTGTGTTTTATGTGAGCGAAAAAATGCCCCTACAGCAAGAATCTTGGTGGTGGCAGATTGCAATTTCCTTTTGGCCATGCTAGGCTCGCCAGCTACAGGGAGTGAACGGAAATGAAGGCTCCCCTTAGAATCTGCCCTCTAGCGTGGCGTTGGTTATATGCACTATATGACAGTATAACATAAAGCTTCAATAAACCCTTCAGCCAGCACCGTGTTCGAGGTTACAAGAAAAAAAAAGACGCGAGTAATTGGCACCTCAAGATGCTTTTTATATCTTATTTAAAACAGTGCAAGAAAAGAGGATAGTAAAGATTCTGTCATGAAGTTCTTTTATGAACAATTAGACTTGTTGTAGGAGAGCTGATTACTGTGAGGAACTTGTTTACCGTGACATACTTTTCCCTTGAAACTCTCGAGCTCTACTTGTGAGCAATGCTGGTGCTGGCGGGCTGCAGCAGCGTTATATAACCCTATTGCAGCTCAACACTACTGACAGTGACAGACATTACTGTAAGAGTAATGTGCAGTTTCCTTGTTTCAGTCAGAACCAATCTGGGAACTGGGAAGTGAAAGCCTCGGTCGTTAAGACTGCGATTGACTGAGGTAATGAGTATGACTTGACTGACAGCCATGAGGATTTCTCTTGCACTTCTCAAGCCTTAATTTGATTATATGCCTCCAGATTACCGACACTGAACCAAGGGCGCGGCAGCTCGGTCACCAGTATCTTTTTTTTTTTTTTTACAAATTCTTGTCTTCCATCACGTGCACAGGTCAGAAGTAGAAAATTTTCAGGCAATTTTCAGGTTTTACTTCAGTAATTTATTTTATCATGTTTCATTTTAAGGTTTTCTGTAGTTTTACGTATTGAAATGAGTTCTGATATGTTGCTGAGCTGACGTGCGCGGCAGGTGCTGGCTAGAGACAGTGTGCGCGTTGGAAGAGAAATGCATATAATGAAATTATCTGATCTGGCTTTTGATGGGTACATTTGTGTACGAGTTTGAAATTTCAATGCAGAGAGCGAAAAATAACTAATTTTTACTTTTGATAAAAAGTTCATTTAATTTGACTGTAACAAGGAATCGCCACAGCTATGATATAATAATAGCCATGTCATAAAATAAAAAAAATCTCATTACGTAGCTAAACGACTATTATAAACTAAGTGTTGGATCAAGAAAACCAAACTAAAAAATATAAAACCAAAAGAAAAGGGAAAATTAACAATAAGACAAAACATTATTCAATTAAGTCTGCATTACTTACTAAGCAGGATGTCTGAGGGACTAAAGGCACAACAGTGTGGAGTTTTAGACCGACTGTACTGTAGGTTAGATTCAAGGAAGTAATTCAGACTCAAGTGTTATATAAGCGAACACATCAAAATAAGCAGCCACAGCCCTAAGTGTTTACGTTCTCAGAATCGCTTGAGAACATAGATGGAATTTGATCTACATAGCGTTTATTGCTTATTATAAAAAACAGGTGGTATGCATATTGAAGGCAGAGCGCTAAATTATTCAAAATGAGTAAAAGGCACCTTAGAAACCTTAGAGTTTGACCAGTATTGAAGCAGGTACAACAGATCATTACTGTAGATACAAGAATAGTAAAGCAGCCACAGTTGGTGTCTGGCTGTTGTGCCAAAAATCGCGTATAACAAAAACGTGCAAATTTCTGGATGTTTTATGCACTAAACTCAGTAGTTTAAAGTCGTAAATGAGAAAGCTTAATCGTGTCATGTTTCCCATTTGGGTAATTGCAATTCGCTTGGTACAGTATATGCATATGTCAAGGATATCAGTTGTTCGGGTATTCATTTAACCATATTGTCCTGGTGACATTCACTCCGCACCACCGACCAGTGCCAGAGTCTCGCCTTATTGTCTGTAATAATCATAGACTCTGTGTGCCGCCTCACGTTTATATCATGCAAACATCATGCATTTTAAGAAAATATAAAAGCGAACTTTTTCACAGCATGAGACAAGTTTGTAGTTACCTGCACAGAACTCAAACTGTGCTCTACAGATTGCATTAATATGGCTGTTTTAAAATGCCGTTGCTATACTGGGGGGATGATCCTCTCTGCTTGGTAAACCACCAGAAGATCCTGTGGCAGTTAATCATTAACTGTATAATTGCCACACCTGAGATTACCTCTCATAGGCCTACACCTTTGACAGACATACTGTATGTTCAGGAGATGAAGTTATAGTGTTTTGTATGTTGGCTTTAAATGAAAGCAAATTAATGTGCCACAAATAAATGCTTTTATAAATTCAAGGCAACGCGTTTGTGGTGGTGTTCCCAAGCAAAGCTGAGGATACGCTTCTCCCCCAAAATATTGGGAAATCATGCAAACATTGCCTCTGATTGAAAAATATTGTAATTTTTAGACAAGAACATTCCCAGTCAGAACGATAGGTTTATGTTTACGCATTATTGGAATGAGAGGATGTGAAATAATGTGGTGAGAATGTCATGTCTAAAATCAATAGTTTTCACCGAGGCCACCAGCTTGAGCATGTGACACACGATCCAACAATTGACTTAGATAGTGCAAGGATAAAAGATTACAAGATTTAGCATAATTTAACAAGTCAAGTCAAACGCATAAACAATTGTTGGAATGTCGTCACTGACGGGGTGGACGGGAGGGAATGGAGGGGAGAAGAAGGTAGAGAAAGAAAGAAATAAAGACGACGTCGTGGAGCTTGGCGGCAGAGCGGTGGTGAATGAGACGTGATGACTTCTCGCCCCCGGGCCAACTAACCTAGCTGGGGACCTGTCTCCTCGGCGGCGCCAGCAGCCTCCTCCCCGGCCCAAGCATCAAGCCACCCAGCATCCTCATCACCAGCAGCACGGCGAGGCACCCAATTTGCTTCCTCAGCAGTGCTCTCCACCTCCGGTGGTTCCTCCACTACTGCCACCGGCTCCTCCACGGACGCTACCTCCATCTGAGCCTCCACTGGAGGCTCCATTTGGGGCTCCACAACCAGGGGTTCCTCCACTGGAGGCTCTACTTGGGGCTCTTCAACCTGAGGTTCCACTTGGGCCATCTCAGCTTGGGGCTCCTCCGCTGGAGGCTCCACCTGGAGCTCCTCAGTCTTGATCTCCACTGGAGGCTCCTCAGCTAAAGGCTCCACTTGAGCCTCAACCTGAGGTTCCTCCACTTGAGGCTCTTTCACTGGGGGCTCCGGCTGGGTCTCCTCCACTGGAGGTTCCTCAGCTTGCTCCGGCTCCTGGATAGCTTGTGGCTCCTCAGTCACCTGGGACACCTGCTCTTCCTGTGGGGGAACTTGAAGGGGGGACACGGAGGGGGCTAGCTCACCCAGGGTCTCAGGCGTCACACACACACCCTCACACACCACCTTGGTCGATGACTCACATTTTTCAGCAGCGGACTCACTTTTCACCTCAGCGGCGGGCTCAGCAGGGACCTCAGCGGGGGCAGGGACCTCGGCGGGGGCAGCAGGGACCTCGGCAGGGGCTTCTGGTTTCAGGGAGCTGCTCTCGGCTTCAAGGCGGGCCAGCTCGGCCTCGGCAGCAGCAAGGGCGGCCAGCTCGGCCTCCATGGCGGCCTTGGCAGCAGCTTCACGCTCAGCCTTCCTCTTCTTCTTCTCCAGCCTCTTGCGTTCCTTCTCGTCCAATACCTCATCGTCTCCTGCAGCATCACCGTTAGCAGCGGGCGCCTCACTCTCAGTGACAGCGGAGACAGGCTCCACCTCTGAGGTAGAGAGGTCAGCTACTAGTGCGCTGGCCGGGGCCGCCTCCAAGCCAGAAGACTCGGGAGCAGTGTCACGCTCCTTTGACTTCTTCTTCTTCCTGCGCTCCTTCCTCTCCTCGCTTGTTTCTTCAGCGGTGCCGTCGGTTATGGCCTGTAGGAAGAATCAGGTCAGACATGATCTTTGTACATGGGACCTTACCTGACGACGCGTTGCTCTGCATCATCACTTACTTAGTCAGGCACAACCCAGAGTCTGTTCTACCTCCACTACACACACCGTTCGCAACCCAAATGACTTTATCTACAAAAAAGTGAAAAAAGCCATATCGTGCACAGGTGGAAATGTCATTGCTACCATAAATCGCATAATATTGCTACGCAAAATTGGTAATGTTTCAGTATTACTGACTAAAAAAAATAAATAAAAAAAAAATCTCCCCTGAGGGAAAAATGTCCTTTGCCGCAGTACAAACTAGAGTACGTCACGTCCATTATTGACGAACTTACCTACGGTCACGGGAATGTGCTAACACACACACTAAGAATCAATGCAATAATATTATGTTCAAAGTGTGAACATGATTTATATTTGTATTTTTTGTTCAAATATCTTTATCGCTATCTTATGGGGATAGTAATAGTGTGTATAAAAGCCACAAGGTACTGGTTGACGTGCCCAGGTAAGGTGTCTCACCTTGACGGAGCTGCTGTCGAAGCGGACGTGGCCTGTGTCCTGGGCGGGAACAAATAGTTAGGCACATTAGCGGAGTTGGGTTGTGGTTCTTGATTTACAAGACCTAACACATCTACACAATGGGTCCTATAGATGGTGCACATGGTAGCAGCTTATGTTAAACACATTGCAATGAGAGGTGATGAAGGCTTAGGGTGGATTCTGGGTTCCAATCATCCCAGTTCACAGTGAAGTTATGGTTGTGATCCGCCTAGATCTCGGGGAGACTTCGGTTTGGATCAGTTTAGTACAAAGAGGAACTAGGATTCTGGTCAGCCTTGACCACAGGGGGTTTGGGTCTCGATAACTCTAGAACCGGGTCGCCTACCCAAGGCCCGCGTCATCTTCTATGGTGAGTCGTGGTAATGATTCCTTGGTGACAGTGGCAGTGATGATGAGAATGATGTCAGCATCATTGTGCAGCGTAAATGTGTTTATCGGGTATTTCCCAAGACAAAGTTTGGACATCACTGCTTCGACGTGTGATCGGAATTATAACTTCAGCAAGATTACATCTATATACTGTGAGTCGTGTATTAATTAGATGCATACAACTTGGGAGCCAACGTCTGTGTGATGTTATGAGTGTGTTCCGCAAGGCCAGTGCGACTACAACACTGTAAACTAAGCATTTTTCGGTACACAATGAAAACAGTGTGGTCGACACTGTACTTGAACGCATTATTTCCCGAACTGTAAAGTTGGGTACCTACTCATAACAACCCTAAGTACAGAAAGCGAGCGTGGTACTGGCTACGCTCGGCCGCAACACGTCCGTGTGACTAATATAAATTGTAGTACTGCCTATGAGGGTGTTTTCATCTTATACTGGACGGTAGTGGTCTGGCTGTGCAGAGGTGAGCTCTCAAAGACTTGCAGGATTGGCGGGATTCTATTTAATGAACTGATTGTCAACAAAGTTGATATTGGTTAATGACCAGAATCAGAAATTGAAAGATGAGCCAAACTTGTGGGTTTACGTGTCAACAATGTAATGTTCTGAATTACAGATTATGTAATGTTTAAAGTTACTTAATGTCTGTGTTGATTATTTTTTAAAACATTTGCAATATTATATTGACAAAAAAAAATCTACCGTAAAAATGTATAAAATAAGTAATGTTTTGTGTTATATATTGTTAATAAAATAACGTACAAAATAAAATACAAGCAGAAGTGAATATCTAGGCCAGGAATCCTCAGTATAATATTAAGGAGATGTCAGTGAGCTGAAAATGTTTACATTTCGGTGTTAAGTAACGCCCATCTTAGGTAGTTTGAGCTGAAATAAAAAAATATTATCACAGCAAGCGAAGAAATCATTGAGAGTGAAAACGATGTTGTACCTGATGGCTGAAGAGCGGCATCTCTATTATACTAAAACGGGAATCGTTGTACTGTGTGTTGAACCTACAATACATCTACACAGTAATCATAGACAGTGAGACTCATAGACCAGTGTCAGTGTGACTTGAGAATGAGTGTTGATATAATTTACGTTTTTCACCGGAGTGAATACGTCCACCAATCTTAGGTCAAGAATGAGATGTTTTCACTTTTATAGGAATAAGGTGAACAATATCATTTGGGTTTGAACACCACAACTCGGCAGGCAAATTTTTACAAAAGTTAACATTTACGAAACCTTAAATTATTATTGATGTAATATTGAACTAACAGATGACTTAAAGGGGAAATAGTAGGACAAGGCTTGACTGTACTGTACAAGACTGGGAGCATTATAACAGTACACGCAGGTTAAGTTCTAGTTTCATGACCTGTATGCTATTTCTTGCACCATAATTATGGAAAAAAATGTAAGTTAGTGTATATTATTACGATTTTCATAGCAATTTACAGACTTCGTAAAGGGCTGTAATAATTAAGCCACTGAAATTTATTTTAAATATGGCAAATAAAGAAAAATATATAAATAAAGGATAAAATAGTAAGATATGACATAAAAGATAAAGTTTACGTGGTGTCCTGACTCAATAATTGTTGTAGTTTTCGCCACCCGCCATGATATTTGTTTTTGTACAACGGGAAAAACGGTTCGAGAATATGCCAGCAGCACTTTTGGATTTTTTTTTGTTTGTCGCCACATACATCGTGCTTACAGCCTTTAAAGGGTCCAAAACTCAGCATCTACAGTAGGTACTGAAAATCACCGTGGCTCGTCACTGGCATTGTTTACGTTGTAACATATTGGACATCGTGTAAACAGTCATGAAGCCAGTTATAATTTTTGAGATGTATTAAACTGTTAGCGACCATCAACTGTCACTTTCCATCGAGTCTCGCTGTCTCTATTAGTGATTACCATGCTAGATAGTACAGTACAGTAGCTTGTGCACAGAACCAACATTTGTCAGCGTGTCAACCATACTACTGTAAAGTGTAATGCACCTGGCAAGTTACTACGAGAGTGGTGAAAGTCATTCCCAAGATTTTTGCTCGTAAAGGTCAAGTTGCTAAAACTTAAAATATGTAAAGTCGTCTTACTTCTCCACATGACCTCTATATAGGGCAACACGCTCACACTCATGTGCACGTACTTTAAATGGGTACGTCACACCCCTCGAGGCATTTTAGGATATACTGTAGATCTTGACCTTATCGGGCTGGAATCGCTACCTACCGAAGTGCTCTGTGAACACACTGGTAATGCCGTATTTACTGTTATGTTACCCGTTGTCTACGATCGAGTACCTTCCCTCCCAAACACACCCGCCCTTCATTCTCAACCTATGGTTTAACGATATACATTAGTTCGGTTTTACTGAAGAGTATCTAGGTGGAGAGCAATGTTTGGTGAATGATGAAGTGTTGCTACTTTAACCTGAAATGGTTCAATCGTGCGAGTCAGCCATTCAGGTTTAAAACGTCCATGACAGGAGTAGTGTGCTGTGCTGCACAAGGTCATACGGGAAACAAGTCTTGCCTTTACAACTCTTGACTTTTACGTGTAGAAGTATGAGAATGACTTAACTCACCCTCACAATTATGCTTGTAGGCAAACTTCATAAACCAGAGATCATGACTAACGACAGTTGACTTCTTCATGGCGCTGTAAACTACCTACATACAGTAGTTGTGTTTATCTATGCTAATTTTTGTTTGCTATATATTCTCATTGTCTTTACTGTAATGCAGGTTTTCAAAAATTTGCCTTTATAATCACTGAGAACGTGCTAAGTAGCTAGCTACTATTTATTATTGAGGTACTGTACTGGGTACTATTATAGCTATCTTATTCTAGTAGTATATTTAATTCCTGAATCACAATTCTGTCAGTCACTGAAATTATACAAAAAAGAAACTTTTCTCTATGAATACGACCCAAAAAATCAATGTTATAAAAAAAATTACAATCTACCGAGCAAATTGCGTAACTCTTTAATATAAGCTCAAACAAGTGTCTGCTGGTGTTAGTGTTAGCGAGATAGATCACTTAAAACCTGTAAGCCTCTAAGAGTGAGTGTGGCACAACTTATACTATACCGTAGTGTAGGACCTAGGAATCTTGAGGGGCATCAACAGCCGCTATTTCCTGCCTTACAGCTTCAGTACATAAGAACAAAATTATCCTCCCCCGATCAGTGTTATTATATACTAGTGTCCAATGGTGTAAATAAATGTGGCAGTACGAGTTTGTGAAATAAGATAATAAACAATACTTATCCAAGATATCCATTGAAGAACCCGTGACCGCAATTGTTGAACACTTGGTAGATTCTTAGGACGTGTAGCCAAACTTCACATCGATACTCTAGAGTAAATCTACCAGTTATTTGTGTCTTGAACAACCAACCTGGCGCCGTGTTGCTAGTTAGGACATTTAAAGAAGTCGTGCGTGACTCCAAGACAGACAAGTGACGTCATGATATTAAAAGTGAGTGACGTCATGGCAAGCGCAACAATCGGGATGGTCATCAACCTTTACCAGAGTACATGGAGAAGATGGCGAGGTTCGTTTGTTCAGCCAGATAAATGACTCTCACTTAGAGCAGCGGAGAGAAGTATAGATGGGAGCGTTTGGCCTTTACGGTATAAACAGTTGGCGACTTGCTAAGGCGAGTAGCAACAACTTACTATAGATCACTCCGGGAGTCCCACACAGAGGTCGAGCATCGGTCGTTTTAAGAGAGTTTCGACAGTGGCTGATTTATTGTTTCTAGTCATGGCCAAGTAAGAACATAATTGAATATTTTAAGGAACATCTATTTTGTGAACTTGGTAGAGACATAGAGTACAGTACAGTAAATAACTTATAGTGTGGTGAAACTCTCCCGGGATGCTGACTTGACTGATGAGAGAATGTCACAGTTATTGTCCGTTACGACAATTAATTTCAAAGCTGTGACTTGTCTTCGGATTTCAAGACAAATGGAGACTAGAGCATAGCTGAAGAGGCAGTATGTAACCTCTTACCACAAGTTTGGTGAGCTTCACTAAATCAAATCTAGTCAACCCTTTTGGCCAGGTCCGGCAGTTTCTATTATTATTTGGATGTCATAAATTCACAACGAAAATCTTCTGGAAAATTTGGGATAAAATGCACAATATGTTGAATGTTATTATAAGAAACTTCATACCTGACTGCAGTAAACTCACATCACCAACACTTGACTGTCGGGTAAGCTCAAGGCAACACCATGTACATACAGTGCTTGGTTATGTAGTAAACTCACAACACACATGAAAGAACCAAGAGTGCAAACTTAGCTGTTGGGTAGCCCATAATACAACGCATACCTGACTTGTCATAAGCTCACAACTCACAACCGTTTATAAAGCTCACAACATCATACAAGGCATACCTGACTATGGTAAGCTCATAATACAACACATACGTCACTGTGATATTTGTGATAAACTCACAACACATACTTTACTGGGATAAACTCACACTTCACTGGGGTAAGTTCACAACACAACACATACTTCACTGCGGTAAGCTCACGACACAACACATATAAATGTATTAATCCCTCAAGCCATACCTTACTCTTGGTTAAGCTCACAACACACCACCCACCTTTGTAGTACTCATAGGACAATAAACCTGACAGTGGTAATCTCACAGCACGATATACCTGGGTGTTTGATAGCTCACCTGACTGTGTGGTAAGCCTGAACCTGACTCTGATAAACGTACTTACAGTAAATGTTTGTTGGTAGCAGACAATACTGTTCCGGATAACTTATCGCCCTAGAAATAACGGGAACGCTTAATTTTAGAAAATGAGACATATACAAGTATGTCTTATTTGGCCATACTAGAGAAGGAAGGACTTCGGGTGAGACGAGGGCCACACACTTAGGCTGGTCATCGGCTGGTCTACGACCCTTACCACTCACTTAGCCAGTTACCCATCTACCTGAAACAGCCACGTTATCTGCTGCTTGGGGTAGATAATGGGCTGATCACGTAGTGCAAAGTGGACTGATTTAGCGACTAGAGGAGGTGGGTGGTTGGTCCGAGACGGCCTCAGCTGTGAAGGATCAACCCTTGACTATTGCACAACTTCGGGGTTCGGTTGCAGGACTCGGTGCAGTGTGCTGGGAGGTGGGGCCGTGTGACCACCACCCCACCCCCCTTCACTCTCAAGCCGTGGCTAAGTTCATGGTCGTGTTCGTGTGTTGGTGAGTAAGTATTTAAGCTTGCTTTTACATAAACAGGCACGCTTTGAATGTCCACGGGCTGGCTTTTAGTGTCTCACACGCATCCAAACACAACACACACACACACGAATTTCCATTTGCAATTTGACGTGTATGATGTGTGAATGACTAGGAATGTGTGACTTCAAAATGAGTCTGTGTGAAAAATTTACAACGGTAGTGGAAGTGTGTACTATGGAGTTGACCGCAAATTTTTATAGACTAGGATTGTGTGTATGAAAATGTAAGAGAGGAAGGAAGAGAAATGTAGTAAAGAGAGAGAGAATGGATAAGAACATACTATCTGTAAAGTATTTATAAAAAATGACCATGAAGACATATAATGAATGAACTACACTCATACTGTACACACATCACCATGTACAATGAAAGACAAAAGTCGTGTCGTGAAATTTGGTGAAAACATAATTGTGCCGAAGGACTTAACTTTTGGTGGGCTCTGCCTTGTGGTAGGGGGCCCTCATAATGTTTCACGAGTTATATTTAATCTTCGGACAAAACCGCGACACGACTTTTGTCTTTGATTGTACACACTGCCAAGGAAACTCTCATTCTCGTCACATTTAACCACAGAAACTCACTGTCAGTGTCCTGTAGTCAGTCGTGTTATGGGTGTACTGAACGTTTAGTCATCATATTAGGCGGTGCGTGAAGTTTGTTGTAGTTGGGCAGATTGCGTCATGGTTGGTTTAGCTGGTGCGTGTTACTTAGTGAGGAACCCGCAAACTGAGCATTAATTATCTACCTGGGCTCATTAACGTTACAAGATTTAGCAGTGGTAGAATTTAGTGATTTAGTTATGATTTAAGTCTCGTTTGGATATTATTTACCTGAGGAATTGTTGGAATTAAAGGTTGGTTAGTGAAGTGCTTTACGGAGTTAATGAGCCACGTGATGTTAAAGCAGTTATCAGCTCTAGTTATCGGTTAATGAGTGTCTTTGATCATGTCAAGGAGTGGAGGAGGGTGCCCGTTAGCGCTCCCAGCACACATGTTGCCGCCAGCCCCGCCGCCCGCCCGTCCGCCCCGGGACTTGGTCACCACCTGTCAGGCAAGACGGCAGGGGCGGCGGCTCACTAACTTCACGTCAGTCTGTCGTCGGTCTTAACGTCTTTGTTCACCCCCAACTTCCGTCCGCGCCTCGCCCCTCATCCTGTGACCATGATGCAGGCCAGGGTGCGTGTACCACCTATTGGGGTGCACATGTTCCTACACATGTAAAAGGCCAAGGTGTATGTGCCACCTACCATGGTGTACAGTACTGTACATGGTCTGCCACCTTGTAGGACACGACTGACCGACGATTACCTATGCAGTCATGTGCTAGAATATAGTTTGTATCACACACCCTTGGCTGGACCTTTGTTATCACAGCAGCGGGGGTGTGAGGGCGGACGGGGCCAGGGGAAACAAACACTGTTCAGCGCTCATACAGTCATGCTACAATAAGGCGTGACATCACACTTCTAAAACAGAAAAGCCGTCGGAGCTATTCTAATTCTGGTATTTCTAAAAGCCTGACGTCACATCCTACGAGCACAGGACTTGACGAGGAGCGGCCGTGAGACGGACTCCAGGATGTTATTGTGACGATCTAAACCAGCCAGTCCATGCTTAGTGGCGGCTTCCGACGGCCTGACGCACCTTGGCGCTGTCGTCCCCGAAGTAGTAATAAGAACGCACCTTCTCAGCCACATAGTCCTTCTTTCGGTTGGTGTAACCATAGGTAGAGAAGAAGGAGGAGCCAGTTTCTACCTTGGAGAAGGGCTTCTTGCCACTTGAAGGAGCGCCGAACACTGTGTCAGGTTCTTCCCACTTGCTGGTCAGCTTGGAGTAGCGTGAAGACGTGTCCGGCATCACTGCGGAGACACGGGCGAGTTAGTGTGGCTTCACCAGGTGGTGGTGACTTATTAATACACATGATGGTGCTGACTTATGACTATACTATCATGACCTGGTGATGGTGGTGACTTATGACTATACTATCATGACCTGGTGATGGTGGTGACTTATGACTATACTATCATGACCTGGTGATGGTGGTGACTTATGACTATACTCTCATGACCTGGTGATGGTGGTGACTTATGACTATACTATCATGACCTGGTGATGGTGGTGACTTATGACTATACTCTCATGACCTGGTGATGGTGGTGACTTATGACTATACTATCATGACCTGGTGATGGGTGGTGACCTTGATGGTGGTGACTTATGACTATACTATCATGACCTGGTGATGGTGGTGACTTATGACTATACTATCATGACCTGGTGATGGTGGTGACTTATGACTATACTATCATGACCTGGTGATGGTGGTGACTTATGACTATACTATCATGACCTGGTGATGGTGGTGACTTATGACTATACTATCATGACCTGGTGATGGTGGTGACTTATGACTATACTATCATGACCTGGTGATGGTGGTGACTTATGACTATACTCATCATGGTGGTGACTTATGACTATACTATCATGACCTGGTGATGGTGGTGACTTATGACTATACTATCATGACCTGGTGATGGTGGTGACTTATGACTATACTATCATGACCTGGGACTGGTGGTGACTTATGACTATACTATCATGACCTGGTTATGGTGGTGACTTATGACTATACTATCATGACCTGGTGATGGTGGTGACTTATGACTATATTATCATGACCTGGTGATGGTGGTGACATGACTATGATGACTGGTGATGGTGGTGACTTATGACTATACTATCATGACCTGGTGATGGTGGTGACTTATGACTATACTATCATGACCTGGTGATGGTGGTGACTTATGACTATATATCATGACCTGGTGATGGTGGTGACTTATGACTATACTCTCATGACCTGGTGATGGTGGTGACTTATGACTATACTATCATGACCTGGTGATGGACCTGGTGATGGTGGTGACTTATGACTATACTATCATGACCTGGTGATGGTGGTGACTTATGACTATACTATCATGACCTGGTGATGGTGGTGACCTATGACTATACTATCATGACCTGGTGATGGTGGTGACCTATGACTATACTATCATGACCTGGTGATGGTGGTGACTTATGACTATACTATCATGACCTGGTGATGGTGGTGACTTATGACTATACTATCATGACCTGGTGATGGTGGTGACTTATGACTATACTATCATGACCTGGTGATGGTGGTGACCTATGACTATACTATCATGACCTGGTGATGGTGGTGACTTATGACTATACTATCATGACCTGGGTGGTGTCAGTAGCCTCAATATTTTACGGATTTACTTTATTTCAGGTTGGTGAAGTTAGAAAACTCGGTATTTTTTAACTTTCGCACAACACGGGAATCTTAGGGATTTTATCTTTGCAATCACTAGTTAGAGAATTCTAAGACACTGTTTTCTATGACGTTTCTGTCGCAAACGACTTATATATGTTGCAGGGTCCAGGGGAGCGGAGCCCTCCGTTTAGGAGGTTAGGTTAGGTTAGGTTAGGTTAGGTTAGGTTAGGTTAGGTAATTTTCGAGGAAAACGTCATAGAGGAAAAGTGTCTTGGAATTGTCTAACTTTTGATTGCAAAGACAAAATCCCTAAGATTCCCTTGTTGTCCGAAAGTTAAACCTTATCGAAAGCTCTGCTGCTTACACTTTAAGCATCTGAATAAAATGTTCATAAATATTTAACAAATTGATCACGTGAACATATATGTAAAGTATAAACATGGCTGACTAAATAATGCCGTGTACTCGTAAAGGCGAGTGTATCATTATGCTTTACGCTGTCTCCCACATATACAGTAGGGTGGTCTCCCTTATTCGGGAATGGTTAGCTTAACCTTGAACCTGGACACGACAGTAAACAAGCAATATCGCCCCTTTTAATTGGTCTGTCGCAGGATCGAACCCGTGTCTCGTGGTCTCAGGATGGTCGATGCAGTATTTAGTGTGAGTGAAGCACAACATGATGGACTAAGAGTTTCACACTGACCTGGATGACTAGTGATGTATACTGCACAACATTTAAGTTTCTGACAGGGTGAAGTGAAGTAATCCCAATATGTAATATCGAACTGTTATATAGTTCTGAATAATTACCATACAGTAAATTTAACATTGATTAAGAAAATATTATTTTAATAATTACTACAAACTACTTACACAGATCAAATACATCACCTACCTGTCTTGACATTGTGGACATAGTGGACACGGCAGAAAAAGACACACGCACACACACACAAAGACACGGCCAAATAATGAGAGGTGAGAGGATGGAACTACCATGACAGTCTGGGAGTATGAGTAAATCTAAAATTTCAATTATTTTCGGTTTTCACTGGTCCGGGTGTTAGCCAACTGAAGTATTAAAAGAGAAGGAGTTAATTTTATGACATCCTAATATTGCAATTAGCACTGTAGTTCACGTGGCATCTGATGGGAAAGTGTTTACGAAGTTGAAAATTGTGAAGATTGGGTTTATGATATCACTGTGATGACGAGATGGTTTCAAAGAGAGCTGGCGGGTTTACTTTAGAATTAAACTGGTGAGAACTGGCAGGTTTTATTCTGTGGTGTGAATGTGGGCGGTTTTATATATATTTACGAGTGAGGCACTGGTGAGGGCGGGTCCCCGGTAATAAAAGAGCAGAAGTTATGAGGTTTGCGGAGCAGTTAGATGGTGTTTGTTGGAGGGTGTGAGAGCCGTGTGAAGGGGATTAATTAACTTGTTGTGGGTTTCCCCTCCGTCAGGCGCCCTCATACACCAACACACCTCAGAGACAAAGACCTTTACCATAAAATGCGTCAATATGAGTAATTAACAACTGTTAGTATTCACCTCTGCCAGAGAAGCATTTTAAGATTATGCTAGAGCTAGACGAACGCTGGTTCATCATCTGGCAGTATTGGCGCTTTTTGATGCGAGTAAAGGCTCTTTTTACCTCGCTGAGTTAAAGGGAGCTGAATCAAGATAGACAATTTTATATTGCTGTTTTAGTTTATTTTGTATTCATGCCATATTACTAGATGTTTTATGTGGGTTGAGGGATTCATAATCGTCTCTGATAACTATTATTGAAAGAGGTCGTACTGAAGTTAGTTGTCAAAGATGGTCATCACGGTACTGTATTATGGAAAAGGTCTGATGTAAGAAACCCTTAAATAATGGAATGTGGTGAAAGGAGATGGTGCCTTCGTTAGTACAGTATTAACCTTCACTGCGGGAACGCCCTTTTAATATTTTATTTGGCTAACGCCTTGATAATTTATTCAGATCAGAGTAGTTAACGAATGATTTCGCTCTATAGAAGTACATGAAGGAACGTTGTCTGGTGGGAGGCCAACTGAGAGGCATATCACTTTGGTTACTATAGGGAAAAATTATGAAATGAAACATATAGTCGACTTATTGTCCAACACACAATGGTGGTATGCTTACTGCCCTACATGTTTTGTATATTAAATGAATAACCACAGGAAATATATTAAATTAAACGACAAAAAATATACGACATATAACATGCAGTTAAGAAGTGAGTAGGCTACTGTACAGTGTATAATCCAATAAGATAATCCAAACTACTACTTCAACACAAACACAGGGGATCGTTCCAAAGTCAAGGGGATACATAATGCTATCAATGATATTAACAAACAATTATAGAACGACACATTGGGTGTAGGACACATGAATGAAGGGGAGTTTTGTGAGCTATAATTAATGTTGTGAATCCTTGATAACACTTAGTCAACTCTGGTAGGACTCGGTGGGTATATAAACATTGCCATTCTCTCTAGACGACACTTGTCAACAGACCCTTGAATGGCTCTGTAGGAATGTACTGTTTAGGCTTCCAGTAATCTGTAACACCAAGCATAGAGAAATCAGTGACAGGGTGATGACTGACTGCCTTATAACACAATATTGGGTTAACGATTGAAGGAAAAATTAAAAGAAAAAATTAGAGAAGTAAATAAAGTTTTGGTTGGTTGTCACTGGTGGGGTGGAAGCTTAAAGACAGAAATTAGAGGAAAAATTATGAAATTAAACCTCTAAGAAGACTAGTTTAGTAGAGCAAGCAGGTGCCTGTGACTGTGGAGGAATGGCGACTTAAAATTGAATTAAAAATGAACAAAAGTCAAAACAAAATTATACACCATATTTACAAGACAAAACAAAAACAGAAAATAAGGTATGCTGTTGAAAATGCAGTAAAAATAAGCAAGAATCTTTGATACTCTTATTATTTTTGATAGTTTCTATATAAGTGTGTGTCTTTCGTTGTCATGTTGAGGGTTGAGGGGTTGTGGTTTATGTGGGGAAGGTTACACGGGAGCTCGTTTGTCCTCGCCACACAAGGATTCCCTCCAATTTCGTTTTCTTTCCACTTTCCACATTAAGTCGACTCATAAGTTTTCTTGTCTTGTAAATGGCAAGAAAAAACCTGATTTTATATCCATTAAAAATAAGGTGTACTTAATATTAACGTAAATTTGTATGTATGAAAAGTAATGTCCCTTACCAGGATGTTTAATGACCTACACTCTGGGAATTTTAACAGCAGAAGGCAATGACGGGGATTCATTGATTTTGTTCCCGGTGTTTCGTGCTCCCCCCTACTAATGTCGGGGAAGAAGGAAGTTTCGTTGATCATTCTGGCAATGTTTCGTGTTCAGGCTCAATATGGTTTCATTTGTATTTACCAATGAGTCATCGCCTGGGCCGGCGTCTGTGGGCTTTGCTGTACGTTGCCGTTTCTGAGTCGGTACCGTGTTGTAAATATGAACCACGATAATGAGACTCATACTTCCTCCTAACACACTTAAAGGTTGCGGGGTGTTAAAAAGCAACACGTTAAAAGTTAAAATCACGGTATCACATAAGACTGGGAATACTTAAGTGTCTCGGCCTTATTCTCGTATCTGACAATATTTCATCGTTGGCTTGAGGGTGATAACGTGTCTCAAGTACTGTAGAGGAAATATTTCGAGGTCCTCGCATGCTGACAAATGATAATTTTCATTAACAAACAAACTTGGACATTATTGTGGTTTGGGAATATGAAGTACTGTAGTGAAGGAAAATCTCAATGTTTTTAGATTCATAAGGTTTCTCAACATTGCTTCACTTCCTCTTACCATTTTGTATGTTGAAAGTAGAAATAATAATAATAATAAAAAAAACGAAAAACGGTTAACTTGTAGGGAACTCCTCCATCACGTTAACTTTTGCCATCAAGTCCGTAATGAACGTCATTTACGATGGAGAGGAAGAGGCACGCGATGGGCAATCAACTGCTCAGTGGAAGAATTAGTTTTCAGCTAAATTAAATGTTTCGTTGGTTCTGTACATTACAAGTTCCATAGATAACCTGGATTCTCTGAAAAGTAACACAAGTTGATTTAACTATGTATGTGTGGGTGTGTGATCCTACTATCAGATAAATATTAAGAGCAGTAGATGGAGAAAGGTAATACAAGAATTAATTAGTAATGGGGAAAATTTTATTTTTGATAACTCCTTATTAAAAAAAAACCCCACTGTATTTTCACCAAAATACCTACATTTTCTCCAAGTCATACTTGAAGTACACGAAAAAATGCAATATAGCAGATAGGTCACCACTAGAGGTGTCGTTTTGTTTAATGACAAATAGTTACATGTATCATTCATAACTTTTTATAGTCTGCGGTCTAAGAAACTATTCGTGTTATTTTCAAATTGTTCTGATATTTTGTGAAAACTGACAGGTTGTATTGTGTGCGGGGCTGACTAACCCCTCTAGTGGCGCCTCCTGCAGCTATCAACCCAAAAGAGAAAAATACAGAAAATAAACTAGAACAAGGGAATGGTAGAAGGGTTCAGTACCACTGCAACAAAGAGTAATAAAGAAATATACAGATAACTGCAGATGCAGTAAAGACAAAACATAAAGCAAGATACGTCACAAAATCAACAACGGGGATATCAGTTACATAAATAATAAAGGGATATCAATCACAGGCATGTAATAGTCTCTAACTAACCCTCAGCGGACGAATCGTACAAGCGAGGTTTAACATAGCCTGGAAAATAATAAAAACAAAAATATAAAATAAACAGGATTGTAAAGTGGCGTTTGTTTATGGTGGTAATTGCAGCCTTAGCATTTAATAACATAAGTATGGGTATTTAATATTAAAAAATAATAAAGGTAAATTAGATAAGCATAAAATAACAAAGTTGGAGGGAAAATCAAACAATAAACTGAATAAAGAAATAAGTTTAAATTAGCATAAAATAAACGACAATTGTGAAGGGAGAAATCAGATAGTTTTTGGAAGGAATTTACATATTGTTAAAATGCACAAGAACGTTAAGGACAGATAAATATAAACATTATATATATATATATATATATATATATATATATATATATATATATATATATATATATATATATATATATATATACATACATACATATATATATATATATATATATATATATATATATATATATATATATATATATATATATATATATATATATATATATATATATATATAATATACATCACCAAATTCCTACAGCAACGAGCAGATACGTGGAACTGGCAGCAGGTCACATGCACCTTCGTGAGGCAAATAGACCAACTCCAGACGATGATTTATCAAACTTCTCTCTGTTCTTATACCGGTGTCTATTGAGGAAGGTGCAGTTTCTGAGTATTACAGTGAGTGGTGTTTGAGTAATGTGATTGACGTACAGTACTTGTTTGAATGTGTGGGCGTAGGTGCTCGGGCGTGCACTCTTCTTTACATTGTTTTTGTGTGTGTATTTTCCTTTGCGTGTGATTTGAGCACAAACCTAATGCAAATCCGTCAGTACAGCGACAAAAACAAAAGAAGAAATTTGAAGTGCAGTTTAAATTGTGTACAACCATACACCTCAATATACTTACTTTTCTTAGACATTTTTGAACGGTGTTATATCTACTCGTAGCTTCACTGAATTATGCTCCCCGAGTAGATCCAAAGTTTGTGTTGTCCACGATAACATTTCCCATCCTTTTTAGGTAATTTGTGTTCCAGGAAGGTGTGTTGAGTGACCGCACCGCAGTTACTTTTCTTTAAAGATTTAGTTTAATTTTCGCTTCACTTCAGCAGCTACAGTGGACGGTCGCAGGGAAGCGGGAAACTTGTTTTTCTTTTTGTTCAATTTATTATTATGAATGTTCAGCGCAATTTTCTGTCCCTTTCATAAAATAATGATCAGTGTTCACAATCAAGTCAAATGTTGTTTCTCTATCTGATATCTGAACAGAGAAAAGTTTTAATTCTATGGATTTATAGCGAAGTACAACAGAATATATCGTTCTCGAGAGCTTTTCTTACTGCATAACTCTTATTCTTAACCTTGGACTATGACGGAGAAGCAACATTCAGGCTCATGACGTAAGCACTTAAAATTTTCAAGACTGGCATTTGAGGTTGACGCGTTCCGGCCCAGCCAGTAGCACCTGTTGACAGTCACTGCAACTTATTGTAACTTTTTCAAGTTTGTATGATGTACACCTCTAGCTTTTGCAATATGTATTACGGGTTAGGTTATGAACCCACGAGTGGGACCGAGTCAGTTCGCTTGTAATGACTTTTGGAAAATCACAGAGGAATACTTGTGTCACAATAGCAAGCGACACAGTAAATTTGAGCGCGGAAGCCTGAGGAAGGCGTAGAGGGAGGACTGGAGCAAGCTGGGTGTAGGAGGTGGTGGCGGGTGCGTCCTGTTCGTTGTCCGGCGCCACCAAACACTGAGTCACCATCACGTCGCGCCATCCCTAGCACCCCGCCACCTTGTGTCCACACACTTCTTCTCTGGCTTCGTTCTCATATGTCAACAGGCTTCACTGAAGTATACTGTGACTGAACGTGAAATATAGACATTCTGTATTCAGCTGTATCCTGTACCGATGTTGGATATTTTTTGTTTTGATTCTATTTCCTCGTTTCACTGCCAATTAGATATTGTAACGAAGGCAGGTGATACGATATCGGAAGGTTGTCTGTAGTGTTTGAAGAGGGCCAGTTCGGATGATGGTCTCTGACAAATGGCCTTTTAGAAATCATTAAAATGGAATCCGATACCTTGTTTATCACCCCAGCTGTGGCGAGATCAAATAATTGCAATGACTTGAATCCGGTGAATTATCGTTATATTTTGATTCAGTATACATGATAGCTATCCAGTTGACTTGTGGGTATTTTATTTTTTGTGATCCCTTGTTCCTCATTGTTTAGAAAATAATGTAGAACCAATTGTTATATTATCGGATTATTGTATAAATTATTACAAATGATAAAACCGAATCTAGTTTACATATATCTTATTATTTCTTTCGCTGGAGGTATTTCTGCATTAGTTTTTGCTATTTAGGATTAACTGTGATAAAAAAAACCTGAGATTACAAAGTAGACAGTGAAATAGTTGTTGTCAGGTTGAGCCGCGAGACCTCAAAGCCTACGGGAACGCTCCACCACGTTTGATTATGTACAGTATGTTTCGTGCCGCTTCCCGCCGGTGCTGTAGTTGGTTATCAGATATAAAAGGGGCTCTCGATATTTAATACATTATAATGAATACATAACGAATGACCAGTTTACATACAATATTAAGACAAGTTGTGGGTCAAGTAAAACCCTTAAAATTAATGTTTTTACACATTTTACACGTATTCATAAGTTTACATTCGGTCATGAAAATTGTATTTAATGTACATTATAAATTTCTTTAAATTATCGTTAAAACATGAACGGAATTAATATAACAATTACTACTGCTTGATACCACAAATCTTAATTAACAATTGTCTCGTGATATTTTATTGTTGGTGGTTTAGTGATTTACTAACCTTGTTACATGCCCAAAGACCTTATTTAGCTGTTGGAACGCAGCTATCAATTAACCTGGTGTTCTCAGTAAACATTGTTCTGAGAGATGTCGATTTTATACAAGGAATAGTTTTCACACACACAACACAGTCACAAGAACACACAACACTGATGACCAGCGGCTGTGGAACATTTACAAGCCAAGTGAGGGGATTAAGTTGTTGGTGTCCGTCACGGTCCTTTAGCCTGTATTTACATCCTCTTAAGTGTCGCGGGCGAACACCAACGCGAATTCAATTACCATTATTGCGAAATTATTAACTTTAGATAAATTTACTTAATAAATTAATTATCGTACGGCGTAAGATTGTTAATTTTACTTGGAATTACCTAAGTTTTGTTTTAGCAAATTTACATGTAAATTTAACCTTATGAATAATTCAAATACTAATTTTCGTATATCGTTCATATTATAAACGGAAACTTGTACATTTGTTATGTAAAGTCTTGTATGCTTTTTCCTATATAATTTATAAACGATTAAGAAACTCATTCCAAAACAGACTCAGTAATGAGTGGTGCTCCAGCTCAAGGTTCATTAGCAGTGTTGAGGTGAAACTTCTGGGCCAACATCCTCCAAGATTCCTATGTTAATGTTTCCCCCTGACTGGTGATAACACTACCACTCTAGTTTAGCTTCAGTTCCATTACGGTATCGCAGCCATTTAGGTAGGCGTCTATGTACCACCAGTATCAAGACGTACATTAGAAGAACCAGTTAGATGCGTTCTCACATCTCAAGTTAGGGAAAATAGTTACGTGCGAACTTCAGGATTGAAACTTTGTCTGTTGCAGCGATCGCTAAACATATTCAATTCTACCTTGTTAAGTAAGATGGGATATTTTACCTCGAGATAATTCGATGTTTTAATTTTAGGAGCTTCTGCTGTTCAGAGTATTATGCACCAGTATCAAGTCTTAGTTCCTGGAGCCTATAAAACAGTGTCTAACAGGGATAAGGAAGAATTGGTCATTGACGCCGTTACTCTTCTAAAAAAAATATACAAATCGCTCGATAAAACAAACAAACAAACATGCATTACTTAAGTCAGGAAAGGCAGGAGCGTGGTTGAATAAACTCTACCAAACTTTAGCACTAGTGTGGAAAATCAATCATTTGATTCGCCCCCTGACGTACTGCTGACCTGTTGTCACTACGGTGGTTGATAATTGTAGTGAGGAATTTGACCTTAACAGTCAATGTGACGTCATCAGCTATAATAGGAAGAATCACCTTTCTTAACTTTTGATAGTTGTTGTCTTATATAGAGACCTACTTAGAATAGCTGCAGCACACACATATATATATAAACAACATTTAAACAAAATCAGTAGCGTAGATTAAAAGGTCAGTAAAGTACAGGGGGAAATTGTCAGTTTTTGATTAAATCAACCTCAACTTGGGAGAGTGTTGGCAGAAAGCGTATTCAATATAAGCAGTCGGGGTCGGGGAGAAGTGTTTGTTATCGTATTCTTCATTGTTTTCTGTCATGTGTACTGTTGATACACCGGACGCCTTTAATTATTTTAATTTCAATATTCTCGAGTAAGTAAAAAGTTGGTATTTTACATACATTTTATACGACAACAAAAATGGTCTGTTTTGTATCCTACATTTCAGTTTTTGGGTGCCTGTATAATAGTGAGATTTCGGACGGAATGTGGATCTGTTTTTACACAAGTTGTTGTTAGATAATAAATCAGCTCAAAAATTTTCTGTTCTGTATGTTCTGTATTTTCTGAAAGGACTAAAAACAAAATAAAGGCAATTCGAACGGAAATTGGTTGGGTTTTATATACATTGCGACCATAGGGACAGGGACAACTTTAATACACGCATGTTATTAAGTGAACCAGACAGCGTGTAGCTGTGGAGGCCAACATGCATCTACTCACGGATACGCGGGAGGAAACCGCGGAAGCTTACATAAGCTTATTACCAGTGATACACACACACACGGTGCTTTAACAGTAGACTTGCGGCTTCGACTCTTGGTTGAGACTTGACCATCCCACACGTGGTTTCCTAGGACTATCCCAAGGACCCCAGAGGCAGGCATGCATTTACCCCTCAACTCTGATACTTACCTCCTCTCACTTGCGCATCTGTAAGAAAAGTTTACCAGAGTCTGAGTCTTAGCAGAAAAAAGGTTCAATCAGGGAGGGTGCCTACAGTGCTGTGATCTGGTAACAATACAAGCGTCGTGTTACTGACGGGCTGCTACACCTACACCACTAACTCAGGGACACTCCACTAATTACCAGCAAAAGGTCAGCCTCTAGCAGCACTCCTCTACAGCTATAGAAAAAATATATATTTTATAAGACTTTATTTAGTGGATGGAATATATATAATTTTTCACATCATATTTATGGCACTGTAGCCTTTAAAGGGATGCATGGAAATAAAAATTGTCATTAAGGAAAAGGCTATCAACTAATAACTACTGTACCACACTTAACTACCCAACTTACTTCCTGGAGTCGTTATTATTACGACCGAGAACGTTGTGCCTGTTGTAATTTTACCCTTAACAGGATTACCATTATGTTCAGACTTATTCCCCGTATCGATGAGTAAAGGTCGACATTGAGTTGGTGACCAATTTTACATATGGTTTTAATATGTTACTTATAAATTTAAGAGAAGCATTGATTCCCATCGCCTCTTGGATGTTTTCTGTTATCATCAAGCGTCAGTTAAGAAAAAGCTGACTTGTTTACTTTCACTTGTGAAAAGTTATATTTAAAAATCTTAATGTCAGCGACTTATTGTTACTCAGCGTAAATGTTTTAAGAAGCTCTCTCATACTTTTTCGCAGACAGCGACAACCAATAGTGAAGCATTGAAGTAGAGCAGGTGCAGTTGGTTATATTAGTGCCTATTGGTTAATGCTATAACATACAGTAGCGCGAGCAGACGTCAAGCTAGACACACAGCTATTAACAGTCATATTATTACCACTCACACATACTTCCCCTGATACCAACCATCACATTCGAGAACAAATGTAATGCGATATATATTGTAAGACTAGACAATAACAACTTTCAGAGTTGTGTGAGTGTATGTCGGGTCTTCACATATTTCCATTACACGCTTAAGGTGATGTATGGGGAGGTATCTGAGGCAGTATTTAACCAGAGGAAGTAAGTTAATATTATGACTGTGATAAATGACCACCCAAAACTACTTACTCACCCAACACATCCTCTCACATTGGCTGCGGTTGAAAATTACAAAACACAAACTACTACTACAATATTATCGTCAGTGTCATCTGCCAGAGCCAGGAACCAGAAACGCCCGTACTTACTCGGAAGTTTCGGGCCCGGCTGACGGTACGTCTTGAGGTATTTGTCGAACTGATCTGGGGTCATGGTACTGTTGAAAAACTCGTGGATCCGGTTGGAGAGACGATCCTTCAGAATCAGTTTCTCCTTTTCTTTCTCTGATGGTTTAAGGGTCCCGGGAATGGGTAAGCATTCTGGTTTGTGTGTAAGATGAGATGAAACTTCCGCATGGCTGATGGTGCGTGTTGAACGAGGGAATGACTGGTTGATGGGTGGGGTAGCAGTGATGCTGCTTGGTAACAGACAACATAAAATTCTGTGTATGTGTGAGGATACGAGATACTGTATATGGATACTTGTTGCCACACACATCAGTGAGCTTTGGTGTCGTATGTGGACCAGGTGTAGTGGAGGATAATCTGTGAGGCGCGAGTCCACTTAGAGGCTGATTACAGGATGTGTAGTACTGTACTTAAAGTGCTCAGACCCTCGATGCTCCCGAGTGCTGACCACTGTTGTAGGTTGTATGAATGTCGAGTAGCATTTATTAAATTAATCAAAATACTGAGAGAGGTAGTGTTGATAAAATATGTTGAATAGTGACCGGTATGTTGTTTGTGATGATGTTGGTGATTGGTAATGATGATGGTGATGATTGTACATGCAGGTGAACGATCACTTGGCCATGTGATACACTCGCTGATTGTAGCCAAGTATCTAACTTTAGTGACAGAAAATTTTCAATTCCAAAAGTGCTTTTTTCTTCAAAATGAGTAATTGAACAGTTTGACTTAAAATTGATACACATTGCAAGGTTTCTTACTTAATGCAACAAAGATTATATGCAGGTTTTGACGTACATCTATAATATTCAGTCAGAAATATACAGTATGTTATCTAGTCATTATATACTTGTCTATTGTTTGTTATTATACAGTGGAAACGGTTAATGGCAGACAGTAGGTTAGTGAGCATCGCCTCAGTTGCAGCAAATCAGGCTCAGTAGCGGATCATGCCACTCCTTCAGTAAGTTTTGCGGCGTCCATTAGTAGAGAGGATGAAGAACAAAACAAAGATAAATAATGGAGACGATCGCTGCGAGAAGGAGTGTCCGGCCTCACGGGAGGGTTGCTTGATTTTCCTTTTAACATGTTTTCAGGTTGTTTTCAAAATCTTGTAGCGAGAACAGAAAATTTACTCGTCGTTTGTATGTTATCAACTAGTGTGATGTAAAACGGTTTTATATACGATTTTCTTGATTTCGGGAATACGGGTTACGTTGTCAGTGTAACGCTGCCAAGACCGCAAGTCAAGTATCTGCTCGTTGGCTGTAACACCTGCATCACTACGTCATGTTATCTTTTGGTTCAGAAATATATGCATTATTTTTCTTACGGAGAGCTTCTCTAAAACGCTCAGTTACAAAGAACTATTGTGTACTTGAATCAATGTAACTGAAGTTATACACATCCCAGCATACCGCTTTGTGTAGTACTTGAGGGAGACTTACCGGCGGCGGTGCGCGTGGTCTTGTAGTGGCTGAGGCACTTGATCCTCAGGTTGTCCTTCATGTGATCATCCTCAGGGTAGTAGCGCTGCCTGCGGGAGGCCAACTTGGGCAGTTCGTTGAACTCCAGACCTGTCAAAGGTCCCCATTTTCATTTAATTTTTCTTAAGGTTTTATCCTTAATATGTCTCCTTCAATAGTCATGACCCCAAGTCGACGGTCAAACCCCAAGTCATACGTTTAGTTTTGTCCTCTTATTCTTCTCTCACTCTCTTACCCAGTGGTGGCCGCGCCCGCTGTTTACTCTGCTGCACATATAGTACTACGTTATAAGTGTGTGAGGGTCCAAGGCAGCAAGATTGAGCAGACATTCACTCACGAGGACAAGCCAGGACAGAACAAGTTACGTGTACAACACAAGTGTGTGGTGGGGGAGGGCACACAGTGGAAAGGAGTATTGAAGGGGGTCAGGGGGAAGACTGTTCACCGTCACCCAACACACCACGACTCAGCACCCTGTAGCGCCCTACAGTAACTCTCTTCCTCCTCGTCTTTAGTACGCTCTGTGTGTGTGATGTGTGGCGGTGTTTCTAGGGTAAGTTGTGCGAGACACGACGACTCTACAGCGATATGTTGTAAAGATGACAGCTAGTGTGCCGGCCGAGACAGCCAGGCCGGGAGGAAGGACTTAAATAGCCGTTACATATCACCACACGCTGGCAAGTTTATTGTCTATGATGATTTAAAAGGGCTATCTTGCAGGAAGGAGGCTGATTATATTTATAGTAGAAGTCAGTATAATTATTCTTTAGAACAATATAACAACGATTATTAAAGTACTGTGTCTGGCACGGCAGTTGAGTTATCGTTTATTAGTGTTGTGGTCTGACGCCGAGAATCCTGTCTTGGATAATTGTCTTCAAGTTTACTTCTTTATCGAGTCACTTGGAGTTCATTAAGTTCCCGCAGTTTGTTCATTATACCGAAGTATTGATACAGTTGATATTATTTAAGGAATATTAAAACAGTTAAAAGTATGTAAAGAGTTACCAGTACCAGGAAGTAGTGAGTTATGGAGAGCAGCTTGTTATTTATGTTCGCCTAACATTATAAAGGCATTATAATCAGGGTTATTGAAGGTTTATGTCGGCGCACACCTGACGCCAAGTTGTCAACATTATATAATTTATGTGCAGTTTATCCTGATGCTTCGTGAAAGAATCTCTTGAGATGTTAAGTACAGTCAACATTTTATTATTGAATGAAATATGAGATAGACTGGTGGTGAGGTGCACGACAATACCCTGATTATCATGGCTGCGTCTCGTGGTGCTGGAGACGGTATTTAGTACAGTAGCTGAGTTACAGTGTTAGGTGTGTTCCTGCAACATTGTTACTCGATGTTGAAGCTATTTATTTATCAACACCATGTGCTTGTATACGTGTTTGCATGCATTTATTTTCTGAAACAAGAGTATTAATGTAACATCCGTGCACAAGTTCCTAGTATCGTATCCGTAGGTCTGTTCGTTTAGTCACACACACACACACACACACACACACACACACACACACACACACCATGCATACATTGAATATAAATGTTTTCGTAGTTATTCGCACATATGCACGCATAGCCACGCTTTGCGTTCATTATGTACGTGTTATCTGTTTATAGTTTCATAAACAAAAGAGACGCTGAAAGCACAAGACATTTTGATCGGACTGGACACAGCCTCACACACACACACACACACACACACACACACACACACACACACACACACACACACACACACACTCTCTCTCACACGGTGTAACATACATTTGTCATTGGCTGTAGTCAGTGTGCGACGGAAAATATGTCAGGTTATATTTGCTCCCAGGTTCTGTATCGGAGAGAACACCTCTGGGGTCGTTATCAGTGGTAGTGCCAGAAGCAGCAGACTCAGTGGCAGCGGAAGCAGTACAGTATTATCAGCAGGAGAGATATTTTGTGTCGTGTCAGTTTGGTGAGCTTCAACTAGGCCCAGCTTCCCTGGTCACGTACAAGGAGTGTGGACTTTGTCGATAGTTGTGAAACTAGTCACCCATCTGCACCAGAAGACATTATTTATGATGCAGTTATTGCAAGTTTAATCAGCTTAAAAATACCTCATAAATAGACTACAGTGATTGAAGGTTTATTACTCTCTGTTGTGAAAGTCGCTCCCTAAAGTTAACAGTAGGATACCAGTGGGTTGATCGTGTGCCTCTGGGTCAGGTGGGGACTGTGTAGGTGTAGATGTGGTAGAGAGTGAGAGAGAGAGAAGTAGGACCTACCGGGGGGGTCCTTAGGGTCCACGTATTCGGCCTTGCACAGTTCGACCACATGGTCGGGGTCCTCGGCAGGATAGCGGGCCCGGGCCCTCCGCTTCCACTGTGGCTGCCCTCCGGCAAACTCTACACACGCCAGGTGCTTGGGCCCTGTATACCCAGCCTCAGGCGTTATACACTAAATATACCAGAACACACCCAGCGAGGCACTCACACACACTCACACACTCAGTCACAGGGTCATGGGGAGACATATTAGGGGAATGGCATAAAAATTATACATGGGAAGGGCATTAACACATTATTATTTACACTATATATGCATAAATAAATATAGTTGATGTTTAAAATTAAAATTTATTTAAAATATTCTTTAAATGGTCAAAGTTGGACTGAAGCCTTAAAAAAGATGCTCATGTTTATCATAATGAATTATTGCATTTAATAAAGAGAATATGGAATTAAGATGCTGAAATTGTGAAAAATAGGTTATACAAAAGATATAAAAATATCATATAAAATCAAAAATATTTAAAAAGTCTCAAGGATGAGTGTAGAGTACAGGTTATTATTCTTATATACTCGTAACAGCTATTCATTATTCAGCAGTCAGTACTTATGTTATCATGACATATTCATTGGAAACAAGCGAGGGTCACTTTAATGGAACACAAAACGTGACAAATATAAGAAAAGAGAATAGTTTGTTGTGCATCTCACCAGAGGAGTACTTCTTGTCGTCTAGGGCGGACGATCTGTTGGGGAGAGTAAGTTATTAGTGCATGTACTGTACACCCATACTCTCACAGGTCACCTTCACCACCCTACAACCCTATCATGGGATATTCATTCACCCGTCCATGGTGCACCCTAAAGCCTCTGACCCCTACCCGCCACACCCAGACTACAACACCTCTACCTCATCTCTCACACCCAGACTACAACACCTCATCTCTCACACCCAGGCTACAACACCTCTACCTCATCTCTCACACCCAGACTACAACACCTCATCTCTCACACCCAGACTACAACACCTCTACCTCATCTCTCACACCCAGACTACAACACCTCTACCTCATCTCTCACACCCAGACTACAACACCTCTACCTCATCTCTCACACCCAGACTACAACACCTCCATCCTCCTCACACCCAGACTACAACACCTCATCTCTCACACCCAGACTACAACACCTCTACCTCATCTCTCACACCCAGACTACAACACCTCATCTCTCACACCCAGACTACAACACCTCTACCTCATCTCTCACACCAACTACAACACCTCTACCTCATCTCTCACACCCAGACCACAACACCTCTACCTCATCTCTCACACCCAGACTACAACACCTCTACCTCATCTCACCCAGACCACAAAACCTCTACCTCATCTCACACCCAGACTACAACACCTCCTCATCTCTCACACCCAGACTACAACACCTCCTACCTCATCTCACACCCAGACCACAACACCTCTACCTCATCTCACACCCAGACTACAACACCTCTACCTCATCTCTCACACCCAGACACAACACCTCTACCTCATCTCTCACACCCAGACTACAACACCTCTCTCATCTCTCACACCCAGACTACAACACCTCATCTCTCACCCAGACTACAACACCTCATCTCTCACACCCAGACTACCCTCTACCTCTCTCTCACACCCAGACTACAACACCTCTACCTCATCTCTCACACCCAGACTACAACACCTCTACCTCATCTCTCACACCCAGACTACAACACCTCTACCTCATCTCTCACACCCAGACTACAACACCTCTACCTCATCTCTCACCCAGACTACAACACCTCTACCTCATCTCACACCCAGACTACCTCTACCTCATCTCTCACACCCAGACTACAACACCATCCTCTCACACCCAGACTACAACACCTCTACCTCATCTCTCACACCCAGACTACAACACCTCTACCTCATCTCTCACACCCAGACTACAACATCTCTCACACCCAGACTACAACACCTCATCTCTCACCCAGACTCACAACACCTCATCTCTCACACCCAGACTACAACACCTCTCCCCTCATCTCTCACACCCAGACCACAACACCCTCTACCTCATCTCTCACACCCAGACCACAACACCTCTACCTCATCTCTCACACCCAGACCACAACACCTCTACCTCATCTCTCACACCCAGACTACAACACCTCTACCTCATCTCTCACACCCAGACTACAACACCTCTACCTCATCTCTCACACCCAGACTACAACACCTCTACCTCATCTCTCACACCCAGACTACAACACCTCTACCTCATCTCTCTCACACCCAGACTAACACTTCTACCTCATCTCTCACCCAGACTACAACACCTCTACCTCATCTCACACCCAGACTACAACACCTCTACCTCATCTCTCACACCCAGACTACCACCTCTACCTCATCTCTCCACCCAACTTCAACACCTCCTACCTCATCTCTCACACCCAGACTACAACACCTCTACTCTCTCTCTCACCCAGACTACAACACCTCTACCTCATCTCTCACACCCAGACTACAACACCTCTACCTCATCTCTCACACCCAGACTACAACACCTCTACCTCATCTCTCACACCCAGACTACAACCTCTCCTCCCTCACACCCAGACTACAAACCTCTACCCCTCATCTCACACCCAGACTAACACCTCCTCATCTCTCACACCCAGACTACAACACCTCCACCTCATCTCTCACACCCAGACTACAACACCTCTACCTCATCTCTCACACCCAGACAACACCTCTACCTCATCTCTCACACCCAGACTACAACACCTCCTACCTCATCTCTCACACCCAGACCACAACACCTCTACCTCATCTCTCACACCCAGACCACAACCTCTACCATCTCTCACACCCAGACTACAACACCTCTACCTCATCTCTCACACCCAGACCACAACACCTCTACCTCATCTCTCACACCCAGACCACAACACCTCCCTCATCTCACCCAGACTACAACACCACTACCTCATCTCACACCCAGACTACAACACCTCTACCTCATCTCTCACACCCAGACTACAACACCCCTCTACCTCATCTCTCACACCCAGACCACAACACCTCTACCTCATCTCTCACACCCAGACCTAACACCTCTACCCCTCATCTCTCACACCCAGACCACAACACCTCCTACCTCATCTCTCACACCAGACCACACACCTCTACCTCATCTCTCACACCAGACCACAACCTCTACCTCATCTACCCAACCCCCAACACCTCCCTCCATCTCTCACACCCAGACCACAACACCTCTACCTCATCTCTCACCAGACCAACACCTCCTACCTCATTCTCCACCCAGACTACAACACCCTCTCCTCATCTCTCACACCCAGACCACAACACCTCTACCTCATCTCTCTCACACCCAGACCACAACACCTCTACCTCATCTCTCACACCCAGACCACAACACCTCTACCTCATCTCTCACACCCAGACCACAACACCTCTACCTCATCTCTCCACCCAGACCACAACACCTCTACCTCATCTCTCACACAGACCTAACACCTCTACCTCATCTCTCACACCCAGACCACAACACCTCTACCTCAGTCTTCTCTCTCACTAGACACACCAACTCCCTTACTGGTTTGTGTTTTCTTTTGTTTTATTCATGGCAGAGATTATCGCACATTATAATTTTATTTAATGATTACATACATACATACATACATACATACATACATACATACATACATACATACATACATACATACTGTACATGCATACATACTTTAAGCAAATCTATAAAAGCTGCAATATTTTCTTGTACAGTCTCAAAAACTGTCTCTACTTGGGTGGGGGTGGAGGAATCGATGAATTTCAGTATGAACACTGTGACTCCTGTTGTCTAGGTAGGGATACCATAATGCTTCATCCGTTGTGTTATATTTTTAACACAATTTTGTATAGATAGTTTTTAAGTGATTGTACAGTATGTTTGGTGTGAATTACTATATGACTTTATGTCCATATACAGTAAGAACAACAGTTAGGGGATACAATCTAAGCGTTTATCTATTGTGACCCTATGATAGAACCATTGACTGATTTATACTGAGACAACAACAATGGCGTGATAAAATCTAGCCAACCGTTTGAGTCACACGTATGAGAAAATGGAACTTCTGGTTAACTGCGATACAATATTCTAACTGGGAAAATCTCCTCATCAACATGAGGAAATACATGATGTAAGGAAACAGTCTCTCCCTCTCTGTACGGCCGTCATGGTGTTGGGCTTCATGTGACGTTTGGTGAATTATTTGATTTATGAGTCTACTCGTAAAACTGAAATTACAGGTGTTTATAGATATAGATTGTTGAGTGCAGGTGTTGTGAGGTGTGCTGCAAAAGTGTGCACAGTTGTAGAGCATTGACAGCTTGTTTTGAGACGTTACAGTGGTGGCTAGAGTAATGAAGTACAGGTATGGTGAACAGGTGTTAGGAAGTGTATTGTAGCTGTATGTACAGGTGTGGGAAGCAGGTATTTAGTGTAGTTGTTGGAGATGTACGGTATCATGTGGTGGTAACAGTCTTCGTGTGTTGTGAGCAGGAGTTGGACGTGTATACACAGGTTTGACGTGCGAGGTACTCACTTCTTGGGTCGGTCAGGCAGGACAATCTCAGGGACGGGGCCGGAGGGGTCGAGGGAGTAAGCGAGAGACTTAAGGCGGATGCGCATCTTGTCGACGTGGTCCTGGAGCATCTGTGGTTCAGAGAGGCTGGGGTAGCGGTGTGCCAGGCGGGCCAGGTGCCGTTCACCTCAGTCTCCCCCGGCATCATCTCTTGCCGGGGAAGTGACTGCAGGTGTGGCCTCAACCTGGCTGCTGGGCGCCCACGCGCAGGTACCAGGGACTTGCGGTCCTCACCTTCACCCACGGGCGCAGGACGTACCGCTGCTGGTGGTGGTGCTGCTGCCTGGGGGTGTTAGTTGGTTAGCTGCAGCAGCTATGATTCACGCGGGCACTACCCAAAACTATTGAGGCTCGAGCGAGGCAGCCGTGCACAGGTCTGGTCCTTTTACCTTCCTTTTGTTTTTCCATAAGGGACTAAAGGGGAAGGGGTGGGGCCTATAACCCGGGGTACAACAGTGAACATCTATAAGTCAAACTACGGAGTCTGTCACGTGGCAAAGCCCAGACTTGGGGTAGAGATAAGGTACAGTACGTTTCCCGAAATGTTTGGAAATATATGAACCAGTTGGGATTTTGAGACAAGCTGATTCATGCTCTACCATGGGGCCGAGGCCTTCTTACCCCTCACTACTACAGTGCTGACACATCTCTAATGAAATTCATACTGTACTTAGTTGTATTTTATATGATTAGCATTCAATATAAGTTACAAACGGATTATCAGTAAGAAAATTCACTTATTCGTCTCAACTCCAGTGAAGCAGGACCAGACCTTAACTAGGAGAAAAATAAACACATTGAAATCAAGGCAAAAATTTATCCTCTACTGCTTTAAAAAGTCATAAATAGTATATATATATATATATATATATATATATATATATATATATATATATATAATATATATATATAGCCAGGAAGCTCTTAAGTTATTGTAAACAAACCTAGATGTGTCAAATGAAAAGCTCTGTCGGGTACAAAATAAAATGTGTGGATTAATCAGAAAACATCAACATCTACCATACAACACACATATACAACATGATTACAGACGGTTGAAAGGAATACAGAAGGTACAATACTTTACATTACAGCCAGAGTGTGGATGAGTCGGATATGGTGGACAGGAAGACGTATTTACCGAATTTTTGTGTGTACAGTACAGTATGTGTGGGTATACTGTGGTGCGTCGTGTGCCTACGTACTATACAGGGTGAGCTATTTAAGTGAGACCACAAGGACCAATAACAAATTTAGTCTTCATTAAGTTCAGTGCACTTTCACCACTAGACTTTTATATATACCAGGTATATGAAATGTCCTGCGCACTCTGTGTATAATTCGTCATCTCCATCATCTTCACAACATTAAGTTAATGAAGTTTTAACTCACATCACTTCAGATACGTTAAAGTTCATTGTGGGTGTAAAACCAGATGGCAAAAATGTACCGACAATGATGGTGAACATTCTGTCTACCATCAATAAAGACGAGTAGAATTTCCAGTTTGTATTAGTCTATGGTTCACAAACTTCACACGATGTATGTATTGTAGGTATCGTCTAAATACTTACAGTGTATAGATGTGGTGGCGTCCGCAAACTTTAATATAGGTCGGTGTAGGTAGAGGTAGTAGAAGTAAATGAAATTCCCAGTTTCAGAAATATAAAGACAAATGTTCTGCATATGTTTGGGGAATTTATATGAGATTAAAGAGAATAATAAGCCACATTTTCAACTCCAGTGTGAAGGAAAGAAAGAGACTTGAGCGTTGTTGTTGACCTCCAGCACACACGAGACTTACCTACTTACTAGTTACGTTAATTTCACTTATAAACATGCCGGAGTGTGGATATTATCACCAGGACGGACAGGCTACACTATCATTGTAAGACTATGTTATTCTGTATAGAAATTTAAATTATCTTGGGAGGAAATTATTATAAAAAACTTAAATAAATTCATGGATAAGAAAAAACAACGAAAATAAGATAATAAAGCAAACCAAAGAAAGAAATATGACTTTTAGAAAATTTAACACTGAAGAACAAAAGAATCAGAATTATAGGTTATATAGAATGTTAATTCTTTGATAATTAAGATATTTGAGGCAGATAAAAACACGTTAGGTTAAAAAGCACAATCCTGCTGTGCCTGAAGTCTGAGAGTTGTTAAAGAAAACAAGAATAGAGCCAACAAAATATTAATGATAAATATAAACGAAGCAACAAAGGCATAATAAACTTAAGAAAATAAGCATAAAAAGGGATGAAAACAACTTAATAATAAATCAGCAAGAATTAAGAACATAAAATAGATAAATACTGTACACAAACATAAGCAGTAAATAAAAGTAAAGATATTGGATGATTGAAGCAGGAACGAACATTTTATTAAAAGATGAACAAAAAGAATTAGTTATGAAAAGTAAAACAAAGGTCATTAAGTAAGGTCATCAGTTTGGTGTTGAGAATTATTTAAATGTGTTACGGGAGGCGGTGTGTATTGGAACCCCGGTATAGTGTAGCGTAGTGTAGTATTCAGAATGTATCACACTATGCTTAGAAACACTAGAAATCAGGGAAAGTTCACAAAACTCATTTATGTAGATAATAAATTTTAATGACAAATCAGCCATAAAAAGTGTTCGTATGTTTGTGTTCGTATTATGCTGCGTTCTAAAATATTCTTTGTTGTGTTCGGGGGGAGTATGTGGTATCAGTGTCCCTAACGTAAGCATGCAATCACTGTGTTATCGCCCACCTGTACCTTATCTGTGTTGGGTGTAGGCTTCACGCTTATCTGTTACCCTAAATCTGGATTCTGGAAAGGGGCTTCAGTTAATTTTTTCTACCAACGAGATAAAGTAAAAATATTTAATTATAATGAGTTTTAAGTCTTATTTGAACACCATCTTCGTTACTAATTTATATATTATAGCTTAGATGAAGTTAATTTTGTCCTGAGATACCGTTGAGGATGGAGAAGATAACAGGAAGGGTACTGAGAATTAATAACCGTAAAGCTGTTGATAAGACGCGTTATGAGGGTGATAACAGAGAGAGGGTCATATTGCTGTCCTGTTGAACGTATTGGACATAGTGCAGGGTCATATTCTTCCTCACTTGGTGGTTCTTTGTTAATTAAACGAGGTATATAGGCCACATTAGTCCCCCGTTGAACAATTGGATATGGAGTGCACTTTACTGCTTCTCTATTCAACGAATTGGACATAAATTGGACCGTATTTAATGCTTAGTAACCAAATTGGAGATGCAGTGGACCGTATCTTTTTTCCCCATCGACTAAATTTTGACATGTAGTGAAACTTTTTGGCTCCTCATTGAGCAAATTGGACAAGGAGTGGACCCTATAAGTTCCTTGTTGGACATGTAGTAGCCCATACTAACCCCATGTTGGGCAAGACCCGCGCCCTTTGGGTCTATTTTTTTCCTTCAGGGAGGGACATACTGGTCTTGGGAGCCATTTTGTCTGTTGTCTACTAAGGATATATTGGACATAAAGACAACATAGGCTGTTGTCAACGAAGAACAAATTCCTCACACATGCCATTAAAGGATGTTCTCTATACGGGACATATTGGACATAAAGCGATATGGGTTGTCGTTATCTACTTAGGATCGTGATATATTGGAAGCGATAGTCACATGGGTACTGCTCGACTAAGAACATACTGGAGGAGGAGAACAGTGGAGGAGAGACGCGCCAGTGTGACATATAAAACATTGACAAGTTTATGTATAATGTTTATGGATACAGTTTGTTGTGTAGGTTTAATATATGACATAGAGCGGATAACACGGATGCGGGGTATAAGAGGTGTGATGTGAGGAAAAGATATTGAGAATCCATTAGTGGGTATGTCTGGTATTAGGGGCTACAGTACTTGATTTATTTCTTTATTTATCATGACTGAATATGATCACCAGTGCCAACATTGACTCAAGTTGATGAAGCCAAGATTAGATCACACTTATTGGCTGTTAATTAATGAGTGTGGGAATAGAAATTGATGTTGCAAATAATCTTGGGAATTTGTTGTGTATTACAGTACAGAAGCAGCCAATAGAATAATAACTTGGCGCTTAGATTACATCACCATGCAAGTTTTGTAATGCATATTAAAACTTAACATGTGCAGCCTTCCAAGCTTAAATGTTTGTCTATCGTGTGTGAGTGTGACGCAGCTGCCCGACTAGATGTTATAAGCTTTATGTGTGTTAATGAAAGCTACGTGGGAATAGATTATCCATGTCCTTGCTTACCACAAATGACATGGGTTGGACACACACTAACTCTCGTAAACAAGTCATCTTGGAAATCCTGTATAGTTATTATTACATTATTGAGAGATCTGTATAACTTTTGTCCAAGGATCTTAAAAAAGTAGTAGTATTTAATTATATACAAACAAATGTCATTGTATCAGAAGGTAATCATTACTGTACTCACGAATGCTAGAAAATCAAGTCCTGTTCTGAATGTAATGTCTTCAAGACGAGCTTGACACACTGGTAACCTTAGACGCTGACTCATACACCTTCTACTACCATTAAGACCTGTCTCATTGTTGACACAGATCGTCCTCACATATTTACCTCTTTCTACCTGTCTTATTTTTTGTCTGTTTCGTCCGACAATCGAGGAGTGAATCTAGGTCCCTTTTTTAATTCCGCGTTATGTTTAGTTATATCATATTATAAAAATCAACATTTAGTTAAGTTATGTAAAGCATCATCTGCAACCCTCCTGTCGGTACAACACCCTGAGGGGAGGTGTAGCAGCTGTGTGTGCCTCAAGTAGAGGTCCATCCTTTAAGACGGCGCCGACTTGAACAATTACCAAACTCTGGCGTATCCTTCCTGTTGCAGTGACGCACTCATAGAACTACGCCAGATGATCATTCGCTCGTCGTCTGCCGGGGGTGGCACTTTTATACTGCAAATGATAGTCATCCCGAACTGTTGCCTAGCTCCTGACGTGACTCTATATTCAGGGATGTCATTTGACACCGTCCGTCAGACTGCCGTGCCAACTCATCCTCCGCCGGCTGATTTTTTTAAGATACATAATTGAATGGTTGATATACAATGTATCCTTCATATACTGTGACAACTGCTCTGAAATTATAATCGCCTTGAAACTATGCCAGAACAACAACGAAAATAGTATAGGTTTTAACAAAAGGTTGAGCTGGATTACTTAATTATATTGTGGTGAGTTTAGCCGCAAGTTTTGTTTTTAATAAAGTCTTGGTAAATCTTAGCCTTAGTCTTACTCCTGCCAAGTCTTTGTCTTAGGTACATCACTTGGTAAGTATGACAGCGTTGCCAGTTACCAGTGTGCCAACAGGACTGTGAGGCAGAGTATGAGGGTGGAGACTTACACCCGGGGAGTAGCTTCTCGTGTGGACGGTGGTCCTGGGGGTGGTGGTGGTGATGTGAGGGTGGCTCTGTGGACAGTGGAGGACACGTCTTCAACAAACACTGATGACACATGAGGACTGTTCACCTTCACCAGTAGCGGCGTAAGGTCACATGGACGGTTGGACCTTACTGCCACCAACACTTATTGTAAGGTTGAACACCTAGATACAACATAGAGTATACTGTACATAGACATGGATTTTTATCTTGGGCTACAATATAAAGTCACACGCACACATGAACCTTTACCAACATAGAATAAGGACACATACACATACATGCCTCTGTCTCTACAACGTACTTGACTATGTTTATACCAGCAAATAACACGGCCATATAGACTCTTCCTTTGCACAGCATTATAAACACACGGAAAGAAAACATGTAACAAATGTTCTTTTAACTTACTTTCAACACACACACACACACACACACACACACACACACACCCGCGCGGATATTACCTCCACTAAGACATAAGACAATTTAAATATAAGCAGGTGGGGTCTGGGGAAGAGGTCAAGACACCTGATACTAGATAACATGGCGGGTAAGTGACCAGACATTCTTCATATTGTTACATTACTTGTTAGCCTTAGGATTGGTTACTAAGTGTTTATTATTTATCCCTCTAGACACTGACTGGTGACTTGAACTCGACCCAAGACGAGAGGAAAATACCATGTTTATTCCCACCATATTTCGACACTACAGCTGCTATATAACATTAACCAGTGGTGAACTAAAATCTATCTATAGGATGCACGTAGATACCATTATTTATTCAATATAATACTGAATATATCAGAAACATTTTACATATTGGACAAGGACAACAAGGTGGCAATTGATAACAGACAAATGATCTCTATAAAATGCATCATCGTGCAACATCTGCTGTGAAGGTGGGGGGGACATAACATGCTAAGTCTTCTTATCTATACTATCACCTGATGCGTGACGTCACCAGTGTTTAGATAGATCAGCCTTATGAACAAACTTGTGAAGCCCCTGTTGTTTCCCTCTGTGTGTTTGTATGTTGGTGTGGGGGCAACTGCAGAGATTTGTTATTTGACATGTGGGATGGATGTGGGCATGGGCGTGGTGGTGGAATTATGAGCGCGGGTGTGAGGGTAGAGTTGTGGGCGGGGAGGACATACCTTCTCACGGTAGTCAGCATCGTCGAGGGTGTCTGGGACTCGTGATCGGTAGCGTGGGACGTAGGTGGTCTCGGGCAGGTCATCCTCCAGGTAAGTGTCGTATCGGCTGCAGGAGACACGGGTCAGTTAGTACGTCACCTCTCTCCTCTTACCGGGTCTATGAGATCCTGTGCTGCCCTCACTACACACACACCACTTACCATTACCACTACTACCACACTCTTCACCCACCTACCACCATCACCACGACCTCTACTACTACCACACTCTTCACCCACCTACCACCATCACCACGACCTCTACTACTACTACACTCTTCACCCACCTACCACCATCACCACGACCTCTACTACTACTACACTCTTCACCCACCTACCACCATCACCACGACTTACTACTACCACACTCTTCACCCACCTACCACCATCACCACGACCTCTACTACTACTACACTCTTCACCCACCTACCACCATCACCACGACCTCTACTACTACCACACCTTCACCCACCTACCACCATCACCACGACTCTCACGATCACCACGACCTCTACTACTACCACACTCTTCACCCACCTACCACCATCATCACGACCTCTACTACTACTACACTCTTCACCCACCTACCACCATCACCACGACCTCTACTACTACTACACTCTTCACCCACCTACCACCATCACCACGACCTCTACTACTACCACACTCTTCACCCACCTACCACCATCATCACGACCTCTACTACTACTACACTCTTCACCCACCTACTCACCTACCATCACCACTACTACCACACTCCCCATCTGCCATCACCACCACTACTACCACACTCTTCACCTACCTTCACCACTACTACCACACTCTTCACCTAACCATCACCAACCATCACCACTATCTTGGTCACTTCCTGCCTGCCCTACCACCATCACCAAGGTTCTGGGGTCACTGGCTGCCCTGCCCACCACCAGTAGTACCTCTTCTCTCCCACATGCATACAATGAAGTAACAGATCAGTCCCCTTTAACATTATCAATAAATCATCACCGTATTTAACCCAACGTGCTTCAGTAAGTTGTGGAAGGCTGAGAAACGTTATTAAGGTCAAACTGCAAGACTACCATGACCTGGCACTAACCTCACCCTGGGTGGTGGGGGGACATAGCCGTAGTAGCCGCCGTAGCCGTAGTCGTAGTCGTAGTATGAAGGCGGCAGACGGGGCATCATGCGTGGCGGAGGGCCCATCGGGAGGTAACCCTGCAAGGAGGACCTCACGTTAGCTACCACACCAACAGTACAGTACAGATTAAGAAGCTTTTTTCTGCAGCTGCCTTGGCTGCCACACGCTCTGGGAGGCTATTGGTGAATACTACTCTTCCATAATTAGGAATAATATTGACTTTATCAGTTTTAATTTATATCAGGACCTCCTTAGTACTTAATAGTCATAAAGCTGTGAGTGAATATTTGATCCATTAAAGAAAGTTAATTGTGAGGCCTTTCTTTGCTTATTTTATGGCATTATGTTGTCATAGTAAAATAAAAAAGCAACTTTATTTCATAACAAATGAATTCAGAGGAAAAATTTGTATCAGCACTTAAATTTGTCTCAAACTGAACAAACGTAACTGATTTTAATGTTAATAAGTTATATCAGAAATCAACTGAAAAAAAAAATAAGGCTTGTCATAATTAATTATCTACTAAGGAAACACACTGTAAAGGATAAAAATAAATTAATGGTATGTTATGGTTCCATCAATACTTGGACCAAACTTATCATACCTGAAGATGCCAGTTAGTGAGAAGAACTGTTAGTTTAGTGAACTATTAATTACGATAAAAAACCGTAAATTACGTATTATGCATAAAAAAAAAACAAAAAAAAACAACGATTACCAAATATTTATCAATTATTTCTCGTGCAATGTTTCTCCATATGCGTGACGTCACTAGTGAGTTTATATATTAGTATAGCTCAAAGCAAATTATATTATGTGTGTATTTTTTTCAGTTTGTAGCCATTACTTAAGAAGGCAGCCAGGATGTAGTTTATTTTATCATTATCTACTTATGTTAAGACTTCAGTTAGGTTATTGGTGATCGTACACTTTCATGTTGTGTTGATACTGAGTCTTTCATTCTACATGTTGGTGCTGGAGTCATGTCATGTTCTTGTGTTATCTCACTTAAGTCTTTTTCTTCACCTTTCATATCACCTGACTCATGTATGTCTCTTACTTCTCCGTGTTACTTGTCTGTCTCACCTCTCCATGATGCCTCACTGTGTCTCTCACCTCTCCATGATACCTGTGTCTCACCTCCCCATGATACCTGTGTCTCTCACTTCTCCTTAACATGTGGTCTCTCATTTATCCATGACAACTGTGTCTTTCACCTCTACAACACCTAGACAGTGGGTCATGTTATCATCCTTGGTACTAAATACACCTGTTCTTGAGCGACATGGGTAGCTCACAGAGTAATTAGTCAAGTTGTTGTGAGAACGTATCTAACTGACTCCTGTGGTTGATAACATTACACAGACGGTAGACAGGAGGAGGTTGAAAGTGCTCTTGAGAGTCGAATTATAAACCAGATACGTTCTCATGTTATATTTAGTGATGAATACATATAAGTTGAGAAGCTTTGAGAATCTCCGACTTAGGTTAGATTTGGTTAGGTTATGTTAGGTCAGGTCAGGTCCAATCTCTCAGAAGGTCGAACAATAATTCTCGTAAAGTGTACACGTAAGAAATGCTCCTAAGGTTGTTTACTTAAAGTAAAACAAGGGAAACAGTGTCTTGAAGTAGCATCAAAATTACACTGAGACTCTTCCTTTAACCAGATACAGTTATGATACAAAATTAATTCAGAGATTTTCCCTCGTGATTATCTGATATTTACCTGTTACCTGGTGAAGATAGTCTCACTGTAATTCTAATGCCATTTTATTTTAAACTATCTGTTCTAGTTTAAGTCACTCAATTAGGTTCATTTTTGACATATCTCAAGTTACGAGGAATATTTATCGTAAGTAACTTTGAGAATCTGGTTCCTGGATGTTTATGCTTTAAGAGATGTGTCGGGTCTTTGATGTGGCTTGTGAGGGAGGGTAGGGTAGGAGGCCCTTTATGAGCCCCTTGTTGTGGGTGACTGACGAGTTACTTGAGTCAATAGGTTAATGAAGACGGGGGCTTGATGGATCAGGTGGCATACCCAATGAATAAACCAAGTTAGTTATTGTGTTAAGGAAGAGAGAGATGTGACGAGTGTTTTCAGACGTGAGGAACTTTTAGCAGACAACTAAAATATTCCACCAAATCCCATGACAACATTAAGTGGTTGTTATATTATGAGTGAACGTTTACCTTAGGTACCCTGGTTGTTATTATTACACGCGGGAGGGAGTAATTAGTGTTAATGACGCCCGTTAATGAATCATGAGGGAACATTGGAGTTAATAGGGGAAGTAATTACTAATAATGGCTGTGAAGCAAGAACAAAACCGAATAAATTATGTCAGTGATCGTTAGGTTTCATAAGAGATCGGGACTGAACCCCACTACCGAACCTCCCATGGCTATCACAGAGTCATATTTATAACAAGTGAAACAGTAATTTCCAGAAAAGATGTTATTTAATATATAATATTTACGTAGAAGTACAGTTATGTTATATGTAAATAGAAATATATTTTACGCATATGAATTGCATAAATGTATTTAAAACCAAAAAACTGGATATCTTTTAAATATGACTCGGTAAGGGGTTCGAGGATATGGTGCTTCTGTAATGGCCTCCAGAGCCTATCTCTTCTGAACCCGGAGACTCGCTGACCTTGGATGATACAGCGTGGTAACTACTGTGAGGGTCATCGCTCAGCTGGTACCGAGAATGTTCTGTCGCCAGTTGCTGCATGCTGAACCTTATTATATATTGATATGACTACAGTATTTCCGGGTTATAACACCTTCAGTTAGTGATACCAAATGGAAATTAGAAATTATAATACGTTTTGATGTAATACAGAAGCGTAAATAGATATTGTACTTACGTTCCTTGCTGAAGTAAAATTGAGATTAGGTAAATAAGCAAACGAATTATTAAGAAATAAAAGAAAACGAAATAAGAAGTTGTCGAAGTAATTATGAAGTCAGTAGAATTCGATCAGAAGTTAAATTAGTGTAAATAAAAATAAGCGTAGTTGAAATGCCCGATTTTCTGTTGCATTTTAGGCAGCGTAAGTAGATTATGAAATAAAAGATAACAGCGTAAAAGTATCACAAGGAAACAAAGTATTGAGAAGAGCAGCAGTAATGGTTGAAGGCGAGGCGAGGCGCGGTGTGTCAGGTCCACCGTCTTACCCTGACGAGAGGTGAGGGCCTGGAAGTTGGGCTGAGCGCCACGCGGTTCAGGATCATCTGCGTGGCTGCCGATGGTCTGTAGGAGCTAGGCGCGGGGGACACACTGCGTCGCTCCTCCCTCACCTCCGTGCACTCGGGGGAGTAGGTGGAGGTGGCCGAGTACGAGGAGTAGGGCGAGGTATACGAGTCCTATATGTAAACACGGGCGAGGGGCAGACGTCAGTGTGGTGCTGATAGGGGGGGCTGGTGTGTGGCTTACACACGGGGCAAATTATACATGCATGTGCTGCAAACACAAACATCTACAGTAAATAACACAATAGGATATATATATATATATATATATATATATATATATATATATATATATATATATATATATATATATATATATATATATATATATATATATATATATATATATATATATATATATATATATATAACAACTAATTGCTGCTCTCATATTTCACTGATGTGTGAAATAGCTCTAAGTCCTACATTGTAAACTAATACAGTGTAGGAGCAAGCTTGCATCTACCATAACTTGCTGTCCTCCTTTAAAGTAAAATAACATCCTAATTCTTAATGCCAGAGGAAGGAGTAAGATGACTGGTGGCCTTGTATAGTCAGTGTTACAGGCCGCTACTCCAGGCTTTATGGCATATATTGGTTTCTTATGTTATTTAGTTAAATAAAGTAAATCTATTGCATGAACTTAAGCGTTCTAGAAGATTATGTCAAAGCATAAATAATGCAACATGTAGCAGAGAGAAGGAGAGAGAGAGAGACACGAGTGTAGGCTAATAATAAGTGCTGCTGCCGGGGTTAGCGGTAAACTTAGCGGGAATTTATGCGCGTCACTGCACCGAAGATAGCAAGTACGGAATTAAATGTCAACAAATCTATCGAATATTCGTGCAGTGCTTCATTCTGTTCCCCGCACTGTGTTATGCTGCATCAGATGTTCTTCCAAGGTTGTGAGGCTTCGAAGAGTTAATGAGTTATGAACAGATGACAGATGCATGTAAACAGACATATCTTCAGTAATCGTGGTTTAGTAAGCATGAAGAAATTGATGAATACAGATGGCCGGCGGCGACAAGGTATGAGTGTGACCTCCAGAGACTGTCAGCACCTCTCGTCTACGAATTAAAAGAGAAATCCACGCACATGCGGGCATCCCGTGCGTTGGTTGAGTGTTGCTGACCAAGGCGTCCGTCCACTGGTGTCCCTTCCGGCCGTCGGTTTTGCTGGGTTGTGTTGTGTGTCAGGTCTGGGACTGGAGTGCTGGAAGGAACACCAGTGGACGTCATGGTGAGCACAGGCCAGGCAGAGCATTTCCTGTCCACATACACGTGGCTTCCGTCTCATTACTTCCGGACATAATGACACGAAAAACGTGGTTGTAGGAGAGTGAAGATGGGAGGTGAAGGTTGACATGCTGAGATGATATTGAACTTTGTCACCTTCACACACCGAGGAGCCACAGGATAAGACGTCGATCAGTCATTTACATTGTTCAGAGGATTTTATCAGTAATACAGAGAACAAAAAAGTGCACAAAAATTCATACAACTCAACATTCGTCTTGCATACAAAAATAAAATTTCAAAATAACATAACACAAACTAACAAACTAGGTAAGTCTGAAGTACAATAAGCTTTTACAAAGTATTTACTTTGGTGTATTATTTTCTCCTGAGACAAGCGAGAAAATACCCCAAGTCATGTTTATATTGTGATTACGAATAGAGATGTTTACGGTAGTTTTAGTGGTGAGTGTAGAGGTGGTAGTGTGGAGCGTGAGGTGTGGGTGGTCGTAGCTGGCACACAAGCAACGTGGCTGCAGTTTTTGGCGTGAGTAAGCTTGTGAGTAAGTAAAGAGGAGTGTGGTGGTGCCGGCAAGCAATACGTGCAAGACTCGGGCGTGGGTTGGGCGCTGATGGAGCTCTTACAGACTTACGCTCCAGCTGGTGTAGACACGGATAGGCGGGCTGAGTGACCTGGCTCGTCCTGCGATAGGGTTGAGGTACCTGGGTGACGTCCACAGCCTGCGTGAGAATGGCCCTAGTGTTGGGTAGTACGAATAAGTGTACGAGGTTGATCTTGGCTTGCTGTAGGGAACCACAGCTGTCGTAAACGGAAGTGGTCTACGATTGTCCCAGTAGGAAGAGGATCTGGGTCCCTCAGGTTTCTTGACAGCCCTGCGACGCGGAGGGACAGAGGAGGCCCTTGGCTGGTAGGGTGAGTGGGGGTTACCCTCAGCGTGGTGCTGCAGGAAGTTGAGCCTGTCCCTGACGGTGGGCAGGTACCACACTTCACTGGAGGTCTGTGGCCCGAAGTCGACGCGGTACCAGCCCTTGGTGGACTTGCGCTCCATCAAATTGTTATCGAGCTCTGGCCAGAGGTAGGGAAGGGTTGGGCTGAGGCTACGACGCTCCGTCTTGATTGTCTCTCTGTTCTTTCGCTGCACCAGAAGAACCGTGTATGTCAGCTTACAGTCATTACCAAACACTAACAAAAATATCAAAATATGAAGAGACAGCTGTGGTGTTGCTGCACAACAGAACCTGGAGCGGCTGCGGGTATATGGGTAAAGCAAGGTAAACAGGTTTCATTATGCTTATAATAAGCAGAGGGCGACTATAACTAGGCTAAAGTACCCTTAGCTGTACACGAAGAGCTAAAATTAACCACTACTGTTATATTAAAAGTATAAATGAACAGCAAGTCTTGGAGTGTGACTGCTGGTTGTGTGTTACGGGAAGGTTCAGGGGATAGCAATATAAAGTACTTTCTAGTGTCAGCGTTAGTAGAGATGCGGATGTGTTAGCAGACACGTGAGAATGGGAATAAATAACAGAGAGAAACACAATAAATTCATTTTAACCTCAGGCTGCTGTAGGCTAATATCGGGTTTGTTACAAGAAGCGTCCCTATTCTGTATAAGGAATTAAATATATATTAATATATACAAAAAAAAGAGAAAGATAAGATAACTGTAGAACCTTAAAAGCACGTTGTACCAACAGTTGGGGAAACATTACACCTCTCCTCTAATTATAATAATTTCCAGATACATTTACCATCTACCAGCGATTGATGTGTACTCTGGTAAACAAAATAAATAAGAGTGTTACTATGCAGACCCTCGATATCTTGACCTTGACCTTTTGTCCAAGCTTTTCATAAATTTAACTTCCTATTATGGGTCAAACTTAAGCGAACTATTAGCCTCAGGGTGGTGAGAACTGTTTTCGAGGGGGGAGAGAGGAGGCCAGAGCCCCCATTACCTGACGTCTTCATTCATTACCACTATTGTATGTCGTAAGTGAAAACCTGTCGAGAATCACTTTACTATTAGACTTTTCCTGAAACTTTACACACTCTTAACTAATATTGTTTGACATTGTTACTCTATATCTTAAAGGAACTCTTGAGGGTTTGGCTTGTAGGAAACATTTAAAACAAGTCGGTCACCTGTTTGAGTTAAGACGAGAACACAAAATTCCTGCTGGTGGTAACTTGGCTGTGCTCTACCCTCTTGTATCATAGCAACGGGCCCCTACATGGTGTCTGTGTGTGTGTGTGTGTGTGTGTGTACGTACGCGCGTGCCTTACTAGGTGAAAATCCATCAGGTTGGTTAAAAGCAAAAGATGGTTTGTTTATAAGCGATGCAACAACCGACTGCTCATCACAGTTCTGGTACCGATGGTTGTTAGTGGTTGGTCATTGTTTTCGATCAAGACCGGTGAGTGGTTAAGATAATGATACCTCTCTACCTATGCTGATACCAAGACTTGTAGAGGTTTAGAAATTGTGCAGAGTTTTCCCAAGCCCGTTTGTCGTAAGTTACATACAGGACTGATTAGAGTCTGTTCTAACCATCTGCAACATGAGGGTAGACAACATATACCACAATACATGAACAATTAATATAAGTTATAGACTATTCATGTAATTCACCCATTTTGAACCCGAAGATCAAAGGCTGAGGTCACTCAAGTCTGAATATCATGGTAGAAGATTTACTCCACCTGCCAAATGTAGAAATGTGGAAATTTCAGAGTAACAGTAAACAATAAGTCTGACATTTTGACCTGTCTCCAGTGGTGTTTATTCTGTACAACCTGCCCCTAATTCCCGCCCTCCACCTCACTCCTCTGTACAACTAACTGTACCGCTCGTATTTTATATACTAATTTTTTATATTGCAATTAGTAAAGTCTGTTTATCAAACAACCTTCGAATGAAGCTTCAATGGATTTTGGGGGGAAGTTTAGTGTGTTATTAGACTACATGGTGTAGTTGTGTGTTTGCCATTCAACACATTCTTGACTATTTAGTGTGCCCTTTATATCATAAAATGAATATATAATCCTGTATCTCTTGTTAACATGAGTCAGCTGTGTTGTGCTGGGAAGGTGTGGCCGTGTTATTGTATTTTCCGATTACTTTAAAGTGTATATAGTAATCATCACAATATACCAAGAGGCATCTCAGTAACCTGAAATCTAGTCTGGCATCCTTACAACTATCTCTCAATACTCAAACTTTGTCCTAATATGTTCGTTATCATCCAGATAATTACGGCACTGTGCTGTACTCGTAAACTGGGATGAAACCTCAACATTTGACCTCTTGTTCCACCAACTTTCCTGTCTCCTCAGGTGCCGTCTGTTGCCGCCCATCCACGTCCCTTCTGGTTAAAGTTAGCAATTAACAGATGAAAAGACCGTACGCTGTCTGAGAGCGTAGGTGGTGAGCTGACCACCGGCACCTGGGCAGTTGTGTACAAACAGTAACATTCTCAAGGCACAACTCGTACTAAAAGAGCGCCTCTGCTGCCGCGAGACAAGCGAACCTTCCATGAGCATCACTAAGGAACGCCAGTCGCTGTTGAATGAATGCTCGTGTTGGCGCTGTTTTTATAGTACGGATCATGGGGAGATATGCAAACACAGCGACTCAAGGAGTTGGTACTGTTATTTGTTTGGCCGTTAGTTGTTTGTGTTTCCTTAAGGATAAGAAACAGAATTAGTAGAAGGTAAATGATTATAGGTGAGTAAATGTTACAAGTGTTTTATTACGGCTTATTTCTATTTATAAAGATTTTAGACTCCAGGAGCGCTTACCAGTTTTGGTCTGTTCATCACACTGTACCGCAGACTTCAACTGTGAAAACAGTGATGGCAGATGCTGAGAATCTGTGCAAAGAAACTCCTTATGCTCTCTCTCCACACACACACACACACACACACACACACACACACACACACACACACACACACACACACACACTACCGGAGACGCCAATATAATTATAGATATAGTCTTACCAGAGTGATCAAGAGAAAAATGAAAATCATGCCATAGAGGTAATGGTCGTGGAGCCAAGTGTGTGTTGCCAAACATCTCGGAGCTGTGAGCTATTCAGGGTTTCCTTCTCGTGTAAAGACGGTCAAGGGTAACCTACAGACGCGGCCTCCGAGTTGATCTGACGAGGCCTGGAGGTTACTCGAGGCTTCTCTGCCCTACAGTACAGCACCACATAACTTTAAACTTATCCATTGTACTCTATCACCACCACCACCATCATCATCATCATCATCATTGTATAAAACCCCTACATGAAAGTATAGGCATTATAGAGGTGTGTCTATCTTGTGTTGAACATAAGGTCGCCTTTAGCACACTACGGGTTCTTGAGCGTCTAGCAGCCCCTCAGACCCGTCACCCCTGTAACACCCGATATCAGTCATCTACGCCTTGATTCTCATGTCTTTTGTACTACTCCCTGATGTAGGTGCTTACAGAGGTCCAGAGAGCGTGACATCATAAGTAAGCGCAGAGCCCACACTTCTAACACATCCGAAGGCTATTTCTGACTTGGATTCTGGCATGGGGCGGGCGGGCGGGCGTGAGGGCGGGCATGATGGTGTCCTAACATTACTCAACCAGGAAACCCCTCCCTAAGGCAACACAGCGTCTAGACTTCTCAACCCACATGTGTGATGAGTTGTTCCCGTGTTGGTTTGTTATGCTCATTGGTGTATTAATTATTTGGAGATGATTGCGTTGTTGTTTACAAGTAGTAATCGCAGAAGTAATACAAGACATCCAGACAACTGTAATATAAACGGGGCTTTGATGCATGTTGATGGAAGATCATGTACAATAAAGCATTAAAGCAATACAAACATCAGGTAACATAAAGCATACTCCTCCACCATTGTTCACAGTGACGATATTTACACTGATTGCTGATGTGGAATTTTAATGAAAGAAAAAAGGTGAGATTTACCGACGTATAAATATCCTGACAAGTTTAACTTTAGCTTACATTGCGTCATTGGAATTCTGGAAAACAAAAGTTAATATGCGGTTAATCTTTAGTAGGAAAGACACGGTATAATATAAAGTTTAAAAGGGGTTATCACTGGTCATTTATATCCAGAAAATGTCGGTAAATTGGAAAAAAGCAACAGTTAAAATATTTTACGGCGTATTGTGAAAAACCCCACGAGATCCAGTTCACATTGTATTAAATTTCTCCCGAGTAAGTGTTTATTTTTCCTAGCCCGGCGTAAAGTCAACACCAAAGTGAGTATTACAGTACTAGATTAAAAGTGGAGTTTAATGTAGCAAAGTTGAAAAAAAATATGTCGATAAAAAGTAAGCACTCACGTAACACTACTGTCCCTGTAGGAGTCGAACCCACACAGCTCAGAAGGTAAGCGAGCCCACCACCAGCTGTCACATTCTTCCTATTTTGTACACTAATTGTGACTTTTTGTAAAATGTTTCTAAACGATCCCTGCGTTAAATATTCCCCCCAAACTCACCAAACATTTTAACATAGAGTAAACTAATGCATAAAGTATAACGCTCATAATTATTTCAAAATAGAGTAAACTAATGCATAAAGTATAACGCTCTTAATTATTTCAAAATTACACTGAGACTTACCACCAGGATATATAGCACGTTCTCTTAGTACCAGTTAGGAGATAAAATTAACGCGGAGAATATTTATAAATCCAAACCCCGGGGGAGTCATTTGTTTGGGTTCGTCATGGTCAGGTGAGCTGGACCTTGGCGGAGCAGCACTGGACGCACCCTGGCCTTGCCGCCCTCTCATGGGTTTGTCAATAGAAATGTCGACTTGAGAACTGTTTACTAGTTATTGCAGTGGTTATATCATTTTTATTTAAATTAATTAAATTATTTGTGTATTTGTTGTGTTCTGTAAATTGTTTTTATCTACGATTATGAATATTTTGTGCGAATACTGTATATTTATTATTTTTGTAGTAATCATTATTATTATTATTATTATTATTATTATTATTATTATTATTATTATTATTATTATTAATAGTAGTAGTAGTAGATAATACAGTAGTAGTATTTGCAGATATATTATAATTTATGTAATTATATCATTGTACTTATTGATAGCATTA